AAAACATTTTCACGGTGAACATTTATCTTTATCAACAAATGAGCTATTTTGCATCCAAGACAAGAAGTTCCAAAGGCAAGAACTTAACCACCAGCAAGCAATCTAAAATTGAACATAACCCCATCGCTGGCTCGAAAAACTAGCTTTGATGTTAGATCTCAAGTTAAACAAAAAGTACACATCTTACATGACCAATGCATGTTTTCCATTGCTTTGGCCTAGCGAAAGTGTTTTCAAATAACAAAGCAGATGCCATCAACTTTTTTCAGTTACATTATTTTACTCTTGTACTGAATATGACAGAAAAAAAGTACAACATTTGTCACTAGATGTGAAAGTTGAAAGAATGCTAAAGACACTGGAAGTATGCATCAGATACGTGACAGGTCCCTAACACAAAGCTGCATGTCAGGTTTATCGAGTAATCAAACCAATAAACTCAACCAGTAATGGAAAATTCCACGTGTCAGACCTAGAGGTTAAAAGCACCAACGGAGAAGGAAAACAGGGAGTGGGTTTAGCAATGTCGAGAAAGAGAATAGTCAGGGAAAACCCAAAAAGGTTAGATAAGATTCCCCCAATCGGGCTCGAGAGTCGGCAGAGCTGTGGAGGTGACCGACAGATTGAAAGGGTACGGTCAAGCTAAAGGGGGTAAAGCCGATGATGCTAGCTTTTAGAATGCCTAATGGCAGTGATCAGCTTAAAAAGTCTCTCTAGAGGAAAGTTTGAGCTAAATCCGAGTGTGAAATATAAAAACATATAAATCAATTTTTTTATTTATCTTTTTGTTTGATTTTATATTTAATTTTGTAAAATTTTATATTGAAATATTTTGATATGATTCAAAATTTTTAAAAATAAAATTTTGAAAAATCTTTAAAATTTTAAAAATAGATATTCAAAATTTTTTAAAAACTTTCAAAAATTCAAAAATGAATATATGAAAACCTTAAAAAAATTTTAAAAATTCATTTTAAAAAATTATATGATTTTTCAAAAATTTATGATATTTTGAAAATTTATTTCTCAAAACTTATATGAAAGAAAAATAATAATTAAATAATTTTACTTATAAATTTTTAAAAAATAAAGCTACGGTGTCAAGAGAAAAAACTGGGATATATTTAACTGTACTCCTACCAAAAAGAGATTTTTCCTTATCAGAAAAATTAAAATAATCTACTCGAATTTTCACTAAAAAATTTCATATATGACTTCTAAATGTCTAATTGTTTTAAAGGCCGTTCAGCGTTATCCCAACTTGGCTTTTGAACCAAGAAGCAAAGCTAAACTGGTGAGTTGGCAACAAAACAAGGTTTTGAAAACATGATAATAGACCCACTCTTGAATACATAGACAACAGAGTTTTAAATTTTATAAACAAAATTAATAAGATGACGCATTCTTTTAAAGTATATTACAAAAATAGAAAAATTAATTTAAAAAAGTGAAATATAAATCAATTTCTTAATCTTGTAGAGTTAAAAACTATACTGTAATTTCTCATGATAAAATTAGCCCTTGAACTATTTTCTTTTCTATTCTACTTTAAAAACATTTATAGCATTTTCATCTTTTAGTATATTAAGTAAAAATAACTAAATATAGCAAAAATATAGTTACTTATTTTTAGGTTGAAATAATTTTAATTTTAAAAAATTTGAACTATATTTTGTATAATTTTTTTAAAAAATAAAACTTAATATTAATAAAAATGAATATCATAAATGACACTTAAATTATAATGACATATTTAATATGATATCTAAATTTTAAAAACATCTAATTTGACACTTAAATCATAAGTTTATTAACTAATATGATACTAATTCTTAAAATAATTAGTTTCAAATGGTAATACATAACATACAAATAAACCTCTAACTACTAAATTAAGAAATTCATAGTTTAAGTACTTTAAAATTTTTTAAATTCAAATACTATATTAAATATTTCACTATAATTTAAACTATTCATGACTAATTTATTTTTTATATTGTTAATAATAATTAATTACTTAAAATAAAAAATAACTTTTATTATTTACTTTTCAACATCATATTCTTTTTAAACATTTTAACTTTTAACAGCAATGTAAAATATGAAAAATCTTAAACCACAATTTTTTACAACATTTTTCAAACATATTTTTTTTGTCTAATTTTTTTTAATTACAACAACAATATTAAATTAAGCTAATCTATAATGTAATAAAAAGCAAAAAAAAAAAGATTTACTTAAAATTGTCAAATTTTGATTTGTTGACAACTGAAACTAAATCATAAAATTAGAAAAAAAACTAATAAAATATAGAATCACAATTATAAGTAGAAAACATGACTAGAATAACAGATTCCTATAAATATGTAAGTACTTTGCTTTTGATAATTAACTTTTTCAACTTTGATTTTGTTTTAAATATATTATCCGTTAAAATATAAAAAATACTTTGCAAAAAATGAACAAATCAATGTAACAAAAATTTAAAATAACAATTAAAGTTGAAAAAATTTAACTACAAAAAATAAACTCAAACATTGTTTATAACCGAAAAAGAGTATAATTTGTCTGCACGTAAAACAAATATCCACGCATTTCTTTACTAATTAAGAAGCTTAAGAATCCGTCCTTTTTGCTTATATATGCAAACCTACCTACTTTTTTATTTTTTATCTAGAAAAAAAATCTTATTTGATCATGGATTTATATTTAATGCTATTAGTGTATAAACACTATACATTGTCATCCAATGATATCATCTCATTATTAAATAAATTTTTTAAAAAAATTAATTTTTTGTATATTTATTTTAAAAATTTATATTTATTCATTAATAAGATAATATTATTTAATTTACTAACAATATATAAAATTTATACATTGAGAGTGCATCAAATATAAACTTTTTGATCATTAGATTACCAAGTATAACAACTAAAAAATATTAACAATTATCACTAGAGGAAGATAAATTTAAATTTAAAGTCATTTGATACATAAAATGATGAATAAAATAAAATGATAATTATTTTATATTATTTTGATTTATATCTAAAAATAAAAATAAGATTATAAAAAATATTAATCATCTTTTTGGTATAAAATAATTCAATCCTTCTAAAGTAACCAAAATTATTTTTAATTTATAAAATTGAACTTATATATCTATTATACCCTTAAAAATTATATCAATAATTCAATTTATATAAACTTTAAAGAAAAATAATTTTGATTAATAAATAAATTATTTTATTTTAATCTTTGACACATCAAACATAAAGTAAAAGATATTATTTAATATAATCTTATTCATAATATTATTTTATTTTATGTTATCATAATTTTATATACCGAATATATTTTAAATCCCTTATACTACTAAGATCTTTATGTATTCAAAAAAAATTACAAATCCTAAAAATCTTCTTTCAAAACAAAAATTAATGATACTATTCAAATATAAAATCTTAAAGATCAAATCACAAAACTTTCAAATTTCCCATTCCTCTGTGAAATAAGATTTGAAATTTATGTTTTTATCAAAGATAGAATACATTAATTATTAAAATCATGAAAAAATATAGAGTTTTAAAAGATTAGTCATAAATCTTTAAAAAAACAAAACAATTATAAACATATTTAAATATATATATTAAACAAACAAACTAAAAACTTTTTGATGATATCTTTTTAAAAAACACGTGTTTTTTAAAAATTAAAATATTATTATATATAAATATATGTGCATGCATGTGCGTATAAAAGTAAACTTACGATTTATGACAGTTATAACAGTAGACATCGCTAAAATCTTGGTGGCTAACTATTATAACGGTCATACTCACGTACTTTTATTTATTTTTATGTGTCATGCAAAATTTTGAATGAAAATTTTAAAATATTACGCATATCAATCTCATCAACTAAAGAAATTTTACATCATCGCATCCATTATTGCCACTCATGAACATTTCCCCACCATCCGATGAAAATCATAAAAACTTTGAGCAAATCACATTAAGCATCACCTACCTACAATTAGTAAAGCGTGCACCTTTCCACCACTAGACGGGGGACCACAAAGGGCATTACCGATGACCCAACTTAAACTAAACGGCAATATAAAAGCCTAAAACCCCTCTCGAAAGCATCGCCAGCCCTAACGGAGAAATTTGACGGCGTCTAAACCAACCCTACCCAATATTGACTTTTCACACGCTCTCACGTGCCAAGTGTCAAGACCTCGCCATGTACGCATCTTTGAAATTTTTTTTTTGGGTCACGTGTTTGGGCCCTGCCTCGACGCTTCACACGCCCTGGTCATTGGCCACCTTAATAGGACAACTTTGCCCCCTCTTTTACTTCTAAAGCCCCGTACTGAAAATAAACTTAACGTTTTAATTATCTTAAAAACTTATATTGGATATAAACATTACAAACAAGACAAGAAAAATACCTATTTAATATTATTTATTATTATTTTTTTATAAAAGTAGTAACATGAACAGAAGGTGATCACTTTTTTAAATTAAAATATTTATGGATACTTTTAAAAAATAAAAAAATAAAAAAAAATTTGGAAGCAATTTTTTATTTTTTTATCTATAAAATTGATAAATTTATCTATAATTTATATATATTATAAATAAATATTCTTAAAAAAATTTAAATCTATCTATAAATCAAAAATAAAATAAAATTTAAAATTTAAAATTATTAAATATTACTTTTTAATAACGATTGCATTAACTAACTAAACTAAACTACATAAGATTCAATATTATTTTATTGTTATAAAAATGTTAAAGCTAAATTGTTATAGGGAAAAGGAGTTATCAGTTTCAAAGCTAACATGTAATAATATATAAATGAACTGGTCTTTCTATTTGGTTTTTCTGTCCCTATTTTCTCTCACTTCTAGGAGTGATTTCATTTTCATTTCCCTGGGCTTCAAGTGATTGAATCAGATCTCCAGCATTGACACATTTTTCTGGTAACTCTTAGATTTTAAAGTTTTTTTTTTTTTTTATTTGGAGTATTTTATTTTTTTAAGTTAATATAATCCAGCAACAGAATATAAATTTGCATTATCTATGGAGATTACAAGGAGAATTGGTTGAGATTTTCTTTTGTTCCTGTTGCTACAATTTTTTATCCAGCAGACAGAAAATAATAGCAAGTATAATAATAAATGAATTTATGCACTCAATTCTATAATTCTATAATTTTTTTCTCCCTCGCTCATCAATGTTTGCCATGAAATGGCAGGATGAAGGTCGTCTGTAAGAGATCTTTCAGTTTAAGAAGCTGTTTTTTAGAGCCATTTTAGGGAATTAGGAATTCTGGGTTTCAGAGGTACTGCTTAACCTCAAACAGGATACTATTGTCTCTACCTATTTTAGCTATGCTGATATAATTTTTTTTCTCTTACTAGGCAGGATTGCTTCAATAAAATGAGGTTCACAGTAAAGGAGGCTTACCTCAATAAGCAAATTTCAGGCAAAGGCTAGCTTTTGATATGACGACTGTGCTAAAGGACCTGCGGACAGTTTTTATCTGGCGGGTGAGAGAATCAAGCTGAAACTTTTAAGTTTTAGCAAAGGATTCTGGAACCGAGAAAAAGAATGAGCAAACAAGGCGAAGAACAGTTTGAATTCCAACATCCATTGGTTCCAGTAAACCCCTTTAGGCCTAATCTCCCAAAACCACCAGTGATCCATGCTGGGAGACAGGGAAACGAGATATTTCAAACAAATTGTATGGGGCCAGAAAGATGCTCTTCTGGGTTTACGCAGGAATCTCAAACTGATAGAATAATTGCATGTTCTGATTCCGCCGGTTGCAGAGAAGTAAATGGAGGCGTTAATAACTTGAAGGGAGCTTTTGTTGGGAGTAAGTGCATTCCGGATGATAGCAATGGGCAGGGGCAATTCTCCCTGAACCTGGCTGAATTCAGCAATGTTCCTTTTGCAGATCTTCTGGCTCTTGCAAATGCAGCCTCAGCTGCATCTACAAATGCAGCATCAGAGGGAATTAACAGACATCATCCAGAATGCAGCTCAGCTGGGCTCTTACCTGTGCATGTAAATTTATCAGCTCAACAAAACATATGGATTGATGGCAACTGCACGCCAAGAAAACATCAAAGTAAGCATAAGTTTAACCTTTATCGTTCCTGTAAGTTAGCTATCTATATTTCTATTACAGCATCTAGTTGCCAATATGTTGCAAGAGAGACAGACAGACAGGCAAAGAGTTAAAACTAGTGTTACAGACAATTAAGAATTTAAGATAGCAGTTAAGGAAGAACAATGGAGATCTCTAGCAAGAAAAATGGCCTTGGAAATGTTAATGTTAGAAATGAGTAAAAAACAGACTATCAAGTATCCCTGGCCATCTTAATTTACTCCTGTTTTCCAGCACTGGTACTCTTGTTTTATTTAGAATCACTTTTGATGCAATTCAGAGGACTAAATTTTCATTTCTTTAAGTTACTTAAAACTATAAAAAGAATGGAAAGCACATAATTCTGCAACTTGTTCTTAAGTATACTTTCCAACACAACAATTTTCCTCTTGAAAGAATTTCTTTGGTAACTGTCTCATCTGTTATTAATGTTGAAAATTCAGAATTTTTTAGTTTAATCACATGAATGAGGTGAAACTTACTTAAAGTGTTTACAGAAATCAGTCCTCTCCAGAATCCATATGATTTTGATCTGCCTGCTGGGACAATGGATGCACTCTCTCACACAAGCATCTCTGACTTTGCCCCTATCACACCAGAAAAGGCCACTAGAGTAGAAAGTAAAGAGGATTCAGAAATAGAAAATTCATACATGGAGAACAGACCTGAGAAAAGAGATGAGCAAGCAAATGAACTGGCTGGTACTAGGGTTGATGTGAATGGACTTCAATGCAGTATAGAGATCCAAAAGCCTGTTACAGAGTCATCCCTGGCGGCTATACCAAGCAAGGAAAATAACAATCCTGACAATGGAGGTATCCATCTTGCTGACCTAGAGAAAACACCACAGCAGAAACAAAGGAGGAGAAAGCATAGGCCGAAGGTAATTACAGAGGGCAAACCTAGGACCAGAAAGCCAGTGACTCCAAAGCCCAGTGGTTCTCAAGAAAATCCAACAGGTAAGAGGAAATATGTACGAAAAAATAGACTAAACAAAGACACATCAATCCCCCCAGGAGAAGCAAATGCAGAGAATTCAACACGTAAGAGGAAGTATGTGCGAAGAAAGGGACTCAACAAAGACTCAATGATTCCCACACATGAAAGTGGACAGGGGGCTACTCCTACAGATACACTTGAGCATAACAAGAAATCATGCAGAAGAGCCTTGGGTTTTGACACAGAAGGACAAGAAAGAGGGGAAAGCCCTGCATGCAAGCCGGCCTGCAATTTAAATTCAACTTCAGGGACAGAAAACCTGTGGAAAGGAGGAAGTCAATCAAAGTCCATAATGCAGCTTTGTAGCGGAATTGAATTGGCAGCAGAAAACACAAAAACTGGCATTGCCTATGAACTAAACCAAAAGTTGAAAGAGTACTTATCTTTGCCTGAAGATCAAGCACCACGCACACCACTTCCAACCAAGAATAATCCCCCATGTAGAAGACAAAATGCCAATTCCCAGAAGCTCAATAATAGGAAAGATCAATGCAGTGCTCATGATGTACTGAAAAAAAATGGACAATCTGTTGGACAATCTTTGTTACAATCCAATGCTCAGTTGCCAGCAAGAAGCCCAAATGATTCCAACTGCAGCACCAGCTCAGTACTGAAGGGAGGACAAGCAAGTGAATTAAAGACGAACAAATCTACTGCTACTCAACAAGCGTATACCAGTGCTGTAAATTCATATGGGAGCCACTACAACAATTTATACGTATACCAGATGATTCCAGGGATTCAATTTTCAAAAAATCACAGGAGAAAGAGAACCGAAAAGGGACAAACTTCTGCCACATCTAGTGCATCATCATCCATCACTGCTGCAAAAAGTCTTGTGCCTGCAGAAGTATGTCTGCTAGATAGCATTGAAGTAAGCCATCCATTTAGTTCTACTGGAGTTCCAGCAAAACTTGAAGAAGCAGGAAGAAATTTTTCTCTGAATAAATTGCAAACTTTTAATTGCATCATGGCTTCAAATCAAACAGAGAGTCTAAAGAAAAAGAGAACCAGAGGAGCCACACAGGTTCAAGACTTGGCTTCACTCAATGGAATTGCACTATGTAACAGGCACCCAGAATGCTATAGTAGTCAATCACCAGTTGCTTATGACATGCGGGAAGTTGGGAACTCTGACAGACCTCATACAAGCATAGAAGCCCTGATGACAGAGATGCAAGCAAAACTGGCAAAAAAAAAGCGATCAAAAAAGAGAAACTGCCTTGTAAATTCAGCATGCTCCAGTACAAGTGAAGCACAATTGCACAAGAGACTTGTCTTATCTAATCAAAACCAATTTTCTCCAAAATTATTAGGTATTTCAATTTTCTGCAAACTTTCCTTTAAATCTTTAAGTAATCTACACAATCTACCAAACAGTTCCTCTTAACTCATTTAATCAACTTGGTGCAGGTACCCCTCCAGAAGTAATATGGAAACAAATGGTTTCTCCTGATGCACTTGTTGAACAATTCAACCAATTAGACATAAACAGGGAAGGTAACCCCATTGCATATGAAGAGCAGAATGCACTTGTCCCATATAATATGAGATACCAAGAGCACAATGCAGTTGTTCTTTATGGAGATGGAACCATTGTACCATTTGGTCCTACCAAGAAACGACGCCCTCGGCCCAAGGTCGACCTGGATGAAGAAACAAATAGAGTATGGAAGCTTCTCTTAGAAAATATCAATAGTGAAGGTATTGATGGAACTGATGAAGAGACAGCAAAATGGTGGGAGGAAGAAAGGAGAGTATTCCATGGACGTGCAGACTCATTTATTGCTCGCATGCACCTTGTACAAGGTAACATATAATTTTCTAACATTTTCCTTAATAGCACCCTAAATGAATTGTTTTACAAGCATTTGCTCAAGAATCTTTAATTGCATAGATTATTTTATTGAATAATAGTATTTATCATACTGTGCAAAATGATGTTTCAATGAATACTATTGTAGTAAAAGACACTGCTTAACCTGTCCACCCCACATGAAATGTAACTCGATAGCTAAGGTAAATTGTTACATGTTCAGATATTAGAATTTAGAAGGCATTCTCTCTCTCTCTCTCTCTCTCTCTCTCTCTCTCTCTCTCTCTCATAAGAGTACAATACCATTTCTGCAGGGGATAGACGCTTCTCTCCGTGGAAAGGATCAGTTGTGGACTCTGTGATTGGAGTCTTCCTTACTCAAAATGTCTCTGACCATCTTTCTAGGTAAGCAAACAGTGCTAAGAACATTTAATCATACAAAAGTAAATAGGAAATATTTTTATTCTGTTCGGCTTTTTGCAGTTCTGCATTCATGTCTCTCGCTGCATATTTTCCTCTCAAATCAATGAGCAAGGAAAAGATATATCATCAAGCCGGGACCAGCTTAGCTAATGGAGCAGAGTTCTATGTCTTGGAGCCGGAAGACACTATAAAGTGGGATACAAATACATCAATTCAACCAGTTGGTGACCAAAGTTCAATGACTGTTAATGGTTATGGATACTCTGAAGAAAAAGAGGTTGTCAACAGCAAGGAGTTGTCTGGAAGTAGTACTGCTATTGTAAGCTCAACAAATGAATCAAAGTGCAAGCTGTTGAACTCTTGTGGAAGTGGTTTGGGTACATACTGCAACTCCACTTTAAACAGATTGAACATGGAAACTCTTGGGAATGGTACTGAATGCTTCAAAGGAGATGAAGAGACAAATGATGTCCTCTCATCTCAAAATTCTGTGGTTTCATCTGAAAACTCTGTGGATTTTTCATTGGTTCAAAATGCCGAAAGAACAGGATCATGCTCAGAGTGCAACTCAGAAGGGGGCGATCAGACTAAGGGGCCTATTTTTGACGTTATGAATAGCTCTACTTCTTTTGTACAGCTTCTACGGATGGCTGGATCTGCCAGGCTGCATGAAGTCTATGGTCATCAAAATATATCCACGAATGAGAACTCAAAAGTCAAAAGAAGCCAATTCCAGAATGACCAAAGAGGAAACTGCGATAATTCAGGTCCTAAAAGCTTCACTATAGAAGACATTATCCCATCAGCTAATTATCATCTGCATCTTACTCTAAACTCAGAAGTAAGAGAAATTGAACACTTTGAGATGTTCAAGGAAGAAACAAGATCCTCTAAGGCTTCTAAGATGAAGGATGAAAACATGATAAAGGGACAAAGCCCCTTAACAGAAGAATCTGCATGTCAAACGATAGATCAAAATGATTCCACCATGTGTGTGCTGGTGGCCCTACAATCATCCAGTGAAAATAATCACTCAAGCAACAACATTCAACAAGATGAGACAACAGTTCCCCACTGTCAAATGAGGCTGCTTCAAGACCCAAGAAATCTTGTTGAATCACCAGCTGATACACAAAACAAAGAAATGTTGAGACATGTGGACATGACAAAACATTTGGAAGAAATCCTAGATATTACAGAAAGCACTACGGCATTTGATAATCAAAGAAGCCCACAACAGAAAATGCAAGAGTCAAACTTGTTTACACATGACTCGTCATCTAATAAGGGGCTCAACCAGATGAATGCTGGCAGTTTAAAATCAAAAGGCAAAAAGGCTAACAAAGAGAAAAAAGATGATTTTGACTGGGATAGCTTGAGAAAACAGGCTGAAGCCAATGGAATAAAAAGAGAAAGAACAGAGAAGACAATGGACTCACTAGACTGGGAAGCAGTGAGATGTGCAGATGTTAATGAGATTGCTAAGACAATTAAGGAACGAGGGATGAATAACATGCTTGCTGGGCGAATAAAGGTAAAAATCTAATATTGTAGGGTAAGTTTACCAAAATTTCCACTAAGCTTACTGCATAACAGCTGATTGAAAATGAGTTGCTCACAGGATTTCCTCAACCGGCTTGTTAGAGATCACGGAAGCATTGACCTAGAGTGGCTGAGGGATGTTCCACCAGACAAAGCAAAGTAAGCCAAAGGAACCTATAGAATGTAGACCTTTTTGCATTCATAAGACCATTTGGCATTGTCATATTAGAATGCATATCTAAGTCAAAGATATTACTTCTCCACCTTTATATATAATTAGAATGGAGAGCTACTTAAACATTATTCCTTGTTGTAGAGAGTACCTGCTAAGTATAAGAGGACTGGGGCTAAAAAGTGTTGAGTGTGTTCGGCTTCTGACACTTCACCATCTCGCTTTTCCAGTAAGTTAATTAATTGCATAAGTAACCATAGCAGAAAAGACAACTCAACTTCCATATTTGCCTGACAGGTTGACACAAATGTTGGACGTATAGTAGTAAGATTGGGATGGGTCCCCCTTCAGCCACTGCCAGAGTCCCTTCAGTTGCATCTCCTAGAGCTGTGAGTATTACGAATTATCAAGCAACAGATAACCATATATTTGAAAGAAAGCTGCTGAATTTAAATTCTGCCTACTTAGGTACCCCATCCTGGAATCCATCCAAAAATATCTTTGGCCCCGACTATGCAAGCTCGATCAAAGAACATTGTAAAGAACCACTTCACTTTAGTACTTGATTCAAGCAAATGCATTTATTCGGAAAAGAAAACAAATTTCTTATTAGAACTACACGTTTGCTAATTCGTTGAACTATATACTGAACAGGTATGAGCTACATTATCAGATGATAACATTTGGAAAGGTATGATGTATATATGTTTACAGTGAAGAAACTTACTTCCTTTGCTGATCAACGTGCTAAGGCTGATAGGGAAAACGTTTCTGAGATTCATGCAGGTTTTCTGTACAAAAAGTAAACCAAATTGTAATGCATGTCCAATGAGGGGAGAATGCAGACATTTTGCCAGTGCATTTGCAAGGTTCGCTTATGAAATATCTCAATTTTAACTTTTTAAATGTACTTCCAGTGAAACAAGATCAACTTGTGTGAGTCTGCAACTGTCTAGAAAACTTTCCATACTCATCGTAAAGTTCAGATGAAGCATCAATCCCCAAAAAGCCAAATTATCAATTCTATCTACAAATGGTCAAGATATGAAGTCACCACACAGAGATAAGAATTTGACAGGATTAATAGATGAGGCTTTTACATAAGCAGTATTTCCACCAATAGGGCAATTGTCAACCTTTTTGTTTTCATTAAGTGTGCTCTGACAATAAGATAATAGAGAATAGTAGCGATCTCGTAGAGAAACCCCAAAATCATTTAACAAAATGACTTACTCATAAACCATATTATGCAGTGCAAGACTTGCCCTGCCAGGGCCAGAGGAGAAAAGCATTGTCAGTGCAACTGACAACAGCAAATCTGATCAAAACCATGCTGTGATCATTGATCAACTGGCTCTGCCCTTACCCCAGCCAACTGAGCAATCAGACATAAACTGGCAGTCTGAAGCAAACCAGCAGTCACAAGCAAAATATGGGGGCAATAACCCTATCATTGAAGAGCCAGCAAGCCCAGAACCTGTGTGCACACAAGTAGCAGAGAATGACATTGAGGACATCTTCTATGAGGATCCTGATGAAATTCCGATGATCAAGCTTAACATGGAAGAGTTCACCCAGAATTTGCAGAATTATATGCAAAATAACATGGAACTTCAAGAAGGGAATATGTCAAAGGCTTTAGTTGCTTTAACAGCAGAAGCTGCATCTATTCCAACGCCCAAACTTAAGAATGTCAGTCGGCTAAGAACAGAGCACCAAGTGTAAGTAGGCACTTCCCATATCTCTGAAGTCTTGAAAATAGAGAAACCACAGTTAACTATTTCATGAACGAGTTTGTTATTACTAGCTCCAGATCAACATAAAATTAAGCTTAAATTATAATTTAAAAAAAATTTCAAGTTTTAGCTCTTTTAAGCTATGGTTAAAAAATCCAAAATGTTTAAAACTATAAAATGCCCATCCTGCCATTGTACTTATAGGAACCAATTCATGAATATAGCAAAGTATATTAAAGAAACATAATTAAACTTCAAAAATAGAGAAGTTCTGCTAGAAAATGGCACAAAATTCAGTGTAAATGGTACCAGAAATCTTTTTATTTCATACTAATGGTATCATTTTTTTCCTTCCCCACTCCTTGAACCCATCCTACAGCTATGAACTTCCAGATTCACACCCTCTTCTAAGAGAGGTTAGTTATTTCTAACTTTATTGATACAAGAATATTTTCATATTTCTATAAGCTCAGTTTTTCTTATATTAGAGACTTATGGTTATCTTACAGTTGGATAAACGAGAACCTGATGACCCAAGCAAGTACCTTCTTGCCATATGGACACCAGGTATGGACAACATTTACTAACATGGCATGTTAAATTCCCTCTAGACCTCTTGAGACAACAAAATATTTTGAAATTTTGGGTAATATGAGCAAGGAGCTCATAAATATTTTACTGGAATCCTGATTGATTTCCCTAAATGCATGATGCTTACACAAGGTGAAACGGCAAACTCCATCCAACTACCTGAAAGAAGTTGCAATTCCCAAGAGCATGGCAAATTATGCGATGAGAAGACCTGTTTCTCTTGCAACAGTATTCGGGAAGCAGAATGCCAAATTGTCCGGGGAACACTTTTAGTAAGAAAATAAATTTGATATCTGCTATGAAGAAACATAACTATTGTATTAAGGAACACTACTTCAGAATATGCTAACCAATCTAATAACACATCATGAACAGATACCATGTCGAACAGCAATGAGAGGGAGTTTTCCCCTAAATGGCACATACTTCCAAGTTAATGAGGTAAGTTCAGCATGCAGGTTCAACCTGCTCCTTTCACACTTTATAGCCATTTGATCTTTATCAAGCAAGTAATGATGAAAAATACGATTCCTATGCAGGTATTTGCCGACCATGATTCTAGTCTGAACCCAATTGATGTTCCAAGGGAATGGTTATGGAACCTGCCAAGGAGAATGGTTTACTTTGGAACCTCTATACCTTCAATATTTAAAGGTTAGAAGATTTCAATAGAAGACATTGCTGATAAATGGAGCAAGATCAAACACTGATTCTGTTTATGTTTTTTGTCTATTAGGCTTAACAACAGAAGGAATTCAACACTGCTTCTGGAGAGGTGAGAATTATATTTATCAATCATTTTAACCTTGTGTCATGCTATTTGTGGTGATTTGAAAAGTTACCCATAAGTATCCATGTTCTTACTCCTACGTGCACATGAACGTCAAAACCTTGAAATTTTGTGATACATACCAGATCACCCCCTCAAAAGCTTTGAACTCCTAACTCAAGGGACATCAAGGACACAAGAATGGCCTTGAGCCCTTGGGAACTGGATCAACATAATATCCCTGTTTAACATTTAACAATAGAAAAGAAAAGAGTTACATCATAGCGTTAAACTGTATTTTTATTTTATATCAAAGAGATCATTGTGATTATAGCAGCACTTTCTTCAGTTAGCTTGACAGTACTTGATAAGTACATGCTTCACTCTAAGTCATCTTCAATTCTCCAAGAAAAAGTCCTACAATTTTAAGGAATCAATCCCTACTTCCAAGGACTTCTTCAGAGTAAGTAAACCCCCCCACCCCCACCCCCCCCAAAAAAAAAAAGATAGAAGTAGATAATTTTCTTATCATGGAATTCTAATCATAGTAGATAAGAAAAAGATGTCTCATCATTGGAAAAACTGAAAAGAACAACTAAGCACTTTTGAATCACTCACTGCCTCCGCTTACTAACATATAGATTTAAAAACTGTCAACCACATACACATAAGACGAACCCAATTTTCCATCCACAGCAGTCTTGTTCTAATTGGGCTTATAGCATCTTCATGCTACACCAAAACATAAGGTCATTTCTTGCCGTAGATACCCCATTTTGGTTATAATATTTTATTCTTTAAAACTGCTCTAAAATTTCTAAAGTAGAGGCTAAGTTAGAACATATAATAAGGTTGTTTCATGGAACAACTTTACTAAAGTTTACTTCACTAAGGTTGCTGGAATAACACTTTCACGAAACAGCACCTTCATGGAACAATTCTTTCATGAAACAATACCTCCAAAGAATAGCTCCTTCATGTAACAGCTTTTTCAAGGAACACCATGAAAGCTCTTTCACTAAGAGTTGCCACACTAAGAAATATTCTACAACCAGCACTTAATCTAATGTTACTTCACCATAAAGAAAGAGTAAAAATAACCTCGGAATATGACAAAATTCTTGAGTTAACTTTACTATTGGAATGTTCCGAAGACTTTGGCTTGATGGTTCAAATATGGAGATAATTAGAAAGTCTCCTCTTAACCTTTCCTCAAAATATGAGTGCTTCTCCTTTTCTTTCAAAACAGATAGTGGATTCTTATGTTCACTATTCACTATTACCAAAAGCTAAACTCTTATCATACAAAGTATTAATATATTTTGTAATTGTCAATTTTACTATTATTCCTATTTGATGCTCAAGATATGTAACTCCTATTTTTAAAATCTATAAAAAAAAGGTTCTCACAACTTATTTAGGGACTTTTGGTAGACTTTGGCAAATTCTCAATCATCTCTCAAATTCTCTCTACAATTCTTTCTTCCCAAACCCCTTTCTCAACCTTATTCTCCTCTCTTCTACACCTTGCTTCACCGACTACATCCCGCCATTATACTTAGTACTTCAAGGTTTGTTCCAGTCTTCCTCTTTGCCTTCTTCTGGCACATCACGTTTTACTTATTTGCAATGTTTCCACTTCTCACCAAAAAAGCCCCTTTACACCTGTCATCCATATAAAGATCTCAAAAGAACATTGGGACTAATACGAATCATGCAATTATAGCCCTCTTTCAATTTCTGGATCAAATGGATATTAAACTAGCTCAACCAGCCCTATTTTAATTTCTTGACCGAAATAGAGATTGAAGTGTCTCAAATTCAAACTTAAGATAGGAATTCACATCAAACCAAAAAACCTTGTTAATATTGCTCCAACCACGAGCTACCCCTTTCAGCGCATTGTAGCCATAAACCTCCACAAATAAGAAATCATGCCTTTTACATATTTGATATTTCGCACGGTCTAACAACTCTTAGCCTATCCATTAACAATGACATCACCTCATAGTGTAGCTTAACAACGACAAGTAGTTAAACCTAAAATCTTTTATGCTATCACTAATGCACTCACTGGCTTACCCACTTATATCATAAAATAATTCCTCTTGGACCCCTAATCATCATTTTGGGGAACTATTGCATTAGCATGTTCTCAGACAGCCTAAATTCAAAATTTTCTGACTAACCAGTACTGCAAGCATTGCCTATATAATCTTAAACATAGTCTTCAACAATAGAACACCTGCCTTATTCTGTTCATTTTATTCAGAATTTTTTTACCACCAGAAGCAGAAATAGAAAATTCTATTTAAACTTTTCTTTTTTTTTTGTTTTTTGATAGTTGCACTTGATCTTTCCACTACCTGGACAATCTGCAAATGTTCAGTCATTTCTGATAGAATTTAAATCATAAAACAAATTCTCTATTTTCTCACTGCTATTTGTCGATAAATTGCAGGATTTGTTTGTGTGAGGGGATTTGACCAGAAATCACGAGCACCCCGTCCTCTAATGGCCAGATTGCATTTCCCAGCCAGTAAGTTGACCAGAGGAAAAGGCAAGGGTGCTGGTGAAGATGAGTAACTGATAGCACAGTGATAAGGATCCAAACAAGTCAACATTGACCAAATAACCACCTATTAAGAACGAGAATGGAATTGCATTTTACAATACTGACTTGGTTTGTAGGGAAATGTGAAAACCTTTGTAACCCATAATGAAAAAGACATGTAGGGCTGTATACTGTTTAGCAATGTTGTAATTATTTAGTTTCATGCTCAAAATTTGAGCAATTTTTCAGACAAGAAACTGTGTCATGTGCTAATTGAAAAGCCCTTTCCTACAATGAACAAGCTTGAAGCATACGTTCTTAACATACTATATGGCCCATGCCATCTTCAAGCATCTAAATATGCACACAAACACCAATTTTTGTCGACCTTGACAAGTATTGAAGGTTTAAAAGAAAGTTTACCGGAGCTTACTAGATGGTTCACGGTGGCACGGATTATGATGTAGCAAAGACAGGTATGAAGTATAAACTCAGCAAACAATATGGGTATTCCACCATAAATGACAAGAGTTGAGAAGGATCTGCAAAAAAATTAAGCAATCTGGATGTCAAGTATAAGTCAGAAAGACATTAGCCTGGTTATTTCATGTATTTCTGGTTTTCTACTTAACATGGCAATCTAAAACAGACGTCACATCAACATGATCCAAAATGTCAATTTAAATCTCATTAAACATATTCCATAGTTTCAATGCTGCCATTTACCTTACAATCAACCATCAATAGAACTTAAATTCAACAAAATCCGATAAATTATGCGTTCTTGATCAAAGAAAGAATCTTCCAGAAATCAAAATAGCTTTAGAATTATCTCTCTCAATATTGAATATCACATTCATAAAATTTTTCGTGCAATAGTGGAAACAAGATGCTGAATCCTACAAGTCATTTCGCCGATTATAATGTTACCTAAATAGACCAAAAAATGAATCAGTAGCTGATAACACGGACTTCATTGCAAATTCAATATATTTTCTCTCTCTCCATAATTGAAAATCGGGAAACCGCTACCATCGAAAGTTGAAACAATTCGCTAAATATGGACAAAATCCTGCTCATAATTATTGAATGTCTCTAATCTTAAATTAGCTAAAATGAAACACAAAAAAAAAGAAAGGTGCGTCAGATTAAAAAAAAAAAAGCAGGTTTCATGTTTTTAAATCAAACGAGCAGACGAACGCGCACATAAAAATATAAAAAAAGCTCGATTCAATTCAAACACTTGAAAATTCTAAAATAAATATAAACTTTCAAAAGAAAGATTTGGATCAAGAAACGAACCTTTTTTTTTTTTAATTTGTAGTATGACGAAAAAGGTAAGGTGAGGAAGGAAGAGAAGCAGCAGATGGTTGGATGGCTCGAGTTTGAGAAAGAGAAGTGTTCAAGAATTTGCTACTTTTGCCGCCTTGCCGCCTTTTTTTCTCTTTTTTCATCTTTTTCCCTCCTTATTTATCTAAATTTTTAAAAGGCCTTTTCGTTTTTTTGGGCCCCCTCATGTCCGACCAGTACTGGGCTCTTGATTGGACTATTCGGCCTGTATTTCACCGACCTGTCGGTGTAGCTTTTGATTGGACTTTTTGGGCCTCTTTTTCGTTCATTTTTTAATATTTGTTCGGTTAAAGGCTTAGTATGAAAAAAAATTTGCTCCCATTAATGCTTTTATTACTTTTTTTTTCTAGTAAAAAAACGAATAATGCGTTTAAGTAAAAAAGTAAACATGTAATGCCTTTATTAAAAAAGAAAAATGGAAATGTATGGTTTTATTTTTATTTATATTTTTGGCCAAGGTTTTATTTTTATATATAGATTAATTATTTTATAATTAGTGTTATATTTTAATTATTTATTTTTAATCAATTATTATATTTTGTTTTTGTCTTAAGTTCCATTGGTGTTATTTTTATATCGCAAATTTTCTTTTCTTTGGTTTTTATTTTTTATTTGCTTTTTTTATAATTAATTTTTATTTATTATTTAAAATAATAATAAAATATAAATGATTCGGTGCCTTAGTATATAATTGATTTGGTCTTTATTTTCAAGCTTGGTCAATAAATACTAACCAAAAGGCAAAAAACTTAATTTTTGCTCATTTGCTTATAAATTTTAATAAATTTGATATATTAAATATCAAAGCATCCAATTTTGGCTATGAATATTCAATTCAAATGCTTTCAAATCACCCAAACAAAAACAAAAAAAAAAAGATATTAATATGATGAACGAAGGCTAACGATAGTTGAATTTTATATAATAATGAATGACTTTCTACTTTCTAACAAAAATGTTGCTTTTAATATTTTCATTCCATAAAATTTTGTTTTAATGTGTTAGCTCTTACAATAAGTTTGTGTATTAGATTTTAAGAATTATCCAACAACATCAAGATAAATTTTAATGAAACATTAAAACTTGAATTCAAAATCATTTGGTATAAAAAAATATATATCATATTTAATCAAAAATACTTCAAAATTAGTGTGGACCAAAATATTTCATTATTATTTTTTTAATCTTACTATTCATTCAAATGAAACTTTATTTGGAGACCTACCATAGGCTTAGGTTATAACTTTCAAGTATTATAAAGTTTGGTTTAATTATAGTGACTATGAATTTCAAGCTGCAACTATTAGAAATTAGTGAAATATTTGCACTGTTTCCCTAGGGACGAATTTCTGATAGAAGCTTACCATCTCTTGAAACAATATGAGAAATGAAAGGGGAAACATAAGAAAATTTTAAAACAAGAAAAGGTAAGAGGCTCCATTCATCCGAGCAACCAAAACAAGGAAAAGCACATATGATCTCAAAGCATTTAGAACAAAAGGGTAGCCCTTTATGATATGGGAAGGACCAATAATTTTGAATGAATTATAATGCTCCAAGTAATTTAAGGGAAAAAAAGGTTTATAAATCACTTATAACAATTTCGTGTCAATCATTCAAACTAGATACTACTATAAATCTCAAAATTATATTTTAATTAATTTTATAAAGAAAATATAATTTAAAGATAAATAAATTTATAAATATTGATATTTGAATGATATTTTTAAAAAATAATCATATATAAATGTAAAATTTGAGTTCATATTTTAATTAACTTTAATTATTGTCTATAATATATTTATTACTAGAATTATATTTTAATTCTTAAACCGAAAAAATCAAATTTATTTTCCATGAAGTAATGTTTATCTCGTCCAGGTTCATGCACAAAGTTAATTCTTGCATTATTTTTTAGTATTTATTTATCTTAACTAAAGGAGAAAACTAAAATTTAAAGAAAGTCCACCCGGGGAAGACACGGGCGCGTGAGTTTACGTGTTGGTTCATTTATCCATGTTTTTTTGACAAAGAGGAATGTAGCAGTACTGCAGTGGGCAGGAGCCACTAGCTCTGAGGCAGCCAAAGAAACCCAAAGGGGTAAATCTTTATATTTGGCGAAAGAAAAATATGAAAAAGAAAAATAAATCATCCAATCAGCGTTTGAACCAGAAATCTGGCTTTTCGAAATTACCCCAAAAAAACCAAAGAAAAAATAGAAGAAACTTCGAGACAACTACGATTCGCCATCGAATAAAAGTGGGATTGATTTCTGTTTCTTTCACTCTCCGACAATGGAAGTCTAGAAGGAGAGAAAAAAAAAGGAACTTGGTAAAAAAAGGTTTACGAAAAAGAAAAAAAATTATTGAGAAAAAAGGCTAAAAGCTTGGAAATCTTCAATAATGGTGGTTCCTAGGGTTTCTAGGGTTTTGTGATCCGTGATTGCTCTACAGATTATCAATGGAAATGTCCGGTCGAAGATCCAGCTACTCTCTCCTTAGCCAGTATCCAGACGACCAGTACTCCGTGTCCATATCTGGTGCTCTGCTGCCGTCCCTTTCAAGCGAATCCACGAGTAATAAAAATAGCAAGGTGAAATCCGAGAGAGGTTTAATTGATTGGGATCAGAATCAGAGTCAGAACCAAAGTCACAACCAGCAACAAGCGGGTCGAATCGGCGGCGGCGGAGGAGGGAATACATATGCTTCGTCAGTCGGGCTTCAACGGCAATCGAGCGGGAGTAGCTTCGGTGAGAGCTCGTTATCGGGAGATTATCATGTGCCGACACTTTCTTCGACGGCGGCAAACGAGATTGATTCGTTCGTGTACGGTCACGATGAGAGCTTTAGGCATGGGGATTTGAGAACGAAATTTGGGGGTTCGTCGACGGGTAAAAGCTGGGCGCAGCAAACGGAGGAGAGTTATCAGTTGCAGTTGGCGTTGGCTTTGAGACTTTCTTCGGAAGCTACCTGTGCTGATGATGCGAATTTTTTGGATCCAGTTCCGGATGATTCTGCAATTCTGACGACTAGCTCAAGCTCTGCTGAGACAGTTTCCCATCGGTTCTGGGTAAGTTTTCTTGTGGATTTATTTGTTTTTTGTTTGTTCATTACACTATGAGCTTGTTTAAATGAACCTAATGTTCAGTAAGGCTAGGGATTGAAGAAATACGCATAGGTGAATACAATAGTTGTGATAGTGAATGGATTTCATTTTTAGATGATTTTAAAGATTGTCAGGAGATTAACCGGATGTTGTGCATGAATTCTTACCTTGTGTTGTGAACCCTGAATGATGCATAGGATAGGATGTGAAAAGTTGGTTGGTGCTAAAGGTAGTTGTCCATTGGTTCAGGATTAGATCTATTTGAACTTTGGGAGAGAGGATGATTAATTGACATTTTTGAAAATCTGTTATCTAAATTAAAAAAGCAGTATAAGGAGGTGGAAGTAGTTCCCTTTTTCTGTGATTAAATGTCATAGTACCAATTCTAGGGCTGCCACCATGGTCATTGAATTATTACTTCTCTGGTTAACCATGAGCAGATGGATATGATATGAATGGTGTGCGTCCATGCATAAAGAACCAAACTAGCCTTTACAAAAATCATTTACAAGTTAAAATATGAGTGAAATCATCGCTTACTGTTATTTTTTTCTTCTTTGTGGTTTAATTTTATGATTAAGATGGGGATTCTTTTGATCTATCAGATAGTCAAAAATGTTTATTTAGATAGCAGATTTCAGTTATGTTATTTAGAGAAATATTATGTTCAAAATGTTGAAGAGAGAAAAGTGCTGTATTAGATGGACTTTGGTAGCGGTGTCTGCTCTGGAATGGGTGCACATGGAAAGGCAAATTCAAATTGTATATTGTTAATGATGATTTTTATTATTCTGATATTTGACGAGTGTATTTATATTCTCTACCTATGATATGTTATGTCATTGTGAATAAAATGGGAGTATATCAGTTGTCCAGCATCCGTAATACACATTCACAGACTAGGAAGTTAGTTAAGTTTCTGGATTTGGCTGATAAAATCTGGAAATTCAATTATCCTGTGTTTTCAATGTTATGTGCATCAGGTGAATGGCTGCTTGTCATACTTCGACAAAGTTCCTGATGGGTTTTATTTAATTCATGGAGTGAATCCATATGTCTGGGCTGTGTGCACTGATCTGCATGAACATGGTCGAATTCCATCAATTGATTCTCTAAGATCTGTTGATCCTACTGTGGATTCACCTCTAGAAGTGATATTGGTTGATCGAAGAAGTGATCCCAGCTTAAAAGAACTGCAAAATAGAGTCCACAACATTTCTTGCAACTGCATAACCACAGAAGAAGTTGTCGATCAGGTAGCAAAGCTTGTCTGCAGTCGCATGGGGTGAGTTATCTACACCATTGACGCACAAATTTTCAACATTTATGCATTTTCTTGCACCTTAGTGATGAATTGTTTTATTGCTGTGCCAAGGGGTTCATCTACTACAAGAGAGGATGACTTTGTTTCCTTTTGGAGGGAGTGCAGTGATGATTTAAAAGATTGCTTAGGTTCAGTTGTGGTTCCTATAGGGAGCCTATCCGTTGGCCTCTGCAGACATCGAGCTTTACTATTCAAAGTAATCTAAGATTTTTTTGGTGTTTTCATTTCAGCTGAGATCTTATGAAGTATTTTTTGCTGTAATTATAGTTTACATTTTATGCCTTCTCTACATCTTAGTCAAGTAAGTTTCCTGTTATAAAATGTGTTTTCCTTTGAAGGTGCAAGGATTTATTCACAGTTCAAATATAATTTATGCAGGTGCTAGCTGACACTATTGATCTACCATGTCGAATTGCAAAGGGCTGCAAATATTGTAAAAGAGATGATGCTTCCTCCTGCCTTGTTCGGTTTGGGCTTGACAGGTATTTTATATCAACACCACTGTATTTTGGTTGGTGTTAATTATTTTGCTTAACTTTGTTTCTGATTTATTATCTTTTTCCTTTGAATTCTGAAGTTGTCATTCTTTTAGTGCAATTTTGTGTTTGAAAGGCAATATTTTGCTGACAAAATTAATCCTGCAATTTTTAATTTGGCTGTTGTTTGTCATGCGGAAACTAAACAAATTCTTTGAAACGAAAAGTGCCTAACTCTACCTGCTACTTCACTTTCATGGTGGCAGTGCATTTGCTTATTGTGGTTCTTTCTTCCCATTTGGTCTATGATTTATGAAAAAGTTAACGTGTAAGTTATCTCAATGAAATATTTGCTATATGCAAGAAAAATCTCATGAAGCCAGTCTTTGTGATTTCAGGGAGTATCTTGTTGATTTAATTGGGAACCCAGGTCACTTATGTGAGCCTGATTCCTTGCTCAATGGTCCATCTTCCATCTCAATTTCTTCCCCATTGCGTTTTCCACATCTCAAACCCGCTGTACCTGCCATTGATTTCAGGTCATTGGCCAAACAGTATTTTTCGGACTGTGAATCAATTAATCTTGTATTTGATGATGCTCCAGCAGGTAAAATTTCAGTTGCTATCTATATAAAGAGCTTTAATGAATGGCCTGTTTTTTTCTTTGAGATTTTAGGCTTTTGTCTTTCTCTTGACTTGAATTATGTAGTTTCTTTGATCATCTGCTTGGGAATGCTGAAAGGCTTTTCATATTTGAAGTGCCTTCACTGGTATGCTTTTGGTCTAAGATTGAATACAGTGTTTCAAGTTTTTATAAAAATTTTCTGCATCTTCACTGATGAAAGCAATGGATAGTTATTTCTCTGCCAGTGTAGCTGTGCTCTAACTTTAACAGTTTCTTAAGACTCGTCTACTTTGGCATGGGCTCTTGGAAAAAATTTCATCCTGGAGTCAAATCAAGGCATTGTCTTAAATATTGCTTTGAGTTACAAGGGAAAACCAGAAAAGTAACTCTGTCAGTTTATATGTGGACAGGCATTAATAAATAAAAGCTGGTGTTTTATATTGTCAATTGCTTCTTGTTATTTTTACTTTTATAACACTGCTGAGGCTGTCATTTGTATATCCACAATACATTTAAAATTTTGTTTATGAACACCATGCTGCATTTTATGAAGTAAGATAATCTTTATACGAGGAATGTTTGTGACTTAAAATATGATGCTTTTTCTAGTGATTTAGTCGTAACTAGGGGTGTAATAGATCGAGTTCGAGTTGATACAATACTAAGCTCGAGTTCGAGCTCGAGCTCGATTTCAAATTCGATGCTCGAAATTCAGCTTGAACTCAATCTTGTTTTACTTTTTTAGCTCGAGTTTGACTCGAGATAGAAATCGAGCTATTCGAACTTACTCGATTAGGCTCGATTAACATGTAAAAATAAGCTCAATTCTTATATTTGATAAAAGCTCAATTATTTGTATTCGAGCTTAAACTCGAGTTCAAGTTTTTTTATCAATTAAAATAATTAAAATATATTAAAATATAAAAGCTTGATTAGGCTCGCGAGTTACTCGAGCTAGGTATAAGAATGCTCGAACTCGGGTCGATCGATAAGTTGAGCTATTCGAGCTCGACTCGAAATAACTATATTAAATTTACATGGTTCACCTTGTGATTCTCTATTCATCTGGCGTGCAAGTAAGCTATAGTTATTTGCCATTCAGGTACTACTACAAATGAAGAAAATCCTGGATTCTCTCTTTATCCCAAGAAACTCGATAAGATTGGCCCAGACAGAAATGCCCTTGTGCAGATCTCAAGTAAAATAAATGGTAGCTCACAGTTGCCCCTACGTCCTAACGTTGCTGGGCCAACTTCTCATGATGGAGATTCCCAATATTCTCGGTCTAAAATACACTCAAAGAACATTATTAAAGATTCTTTAAAGCGTATCTCTCCAATAAGGCATAGAGATGTTGCAGTTCTAGGCTTCTCTGATCCAATTGTGGATGCTATTAAGGATTCAAGGTTCTTTGAGGGCAGTCAACTTGTTTCTAGCAAACCAAGTAGGGAACTTGCCCTTGAAGTTGATGATTTGGACATTCCATGGAGTGATCTTGTTTTAAGAGAGAGAATTGGCTCTGGTATTTTTCTGGTCCTTTTCTGGAGAACATTTATTTTTACAGTATAGAGACTATATTCCTTGCTCACAATTCATGCAGGTATGGTTATAATAGTGTACTTAGGTTTATACCTTGTTCTTTTCAGGTTCTTTTGGAATTGTCCATCGTGCTGAATGGAATGGCTCTGTAAGAATCCTTTTGATTATTTTCTTATTGTCATAAGGAAAAAGTCAAATGTTATGGAAGTTTTATTTTTTATATCTGTTGTGCCATACTGTTCATTGCTAACATCTGCTCAATATTTTTCTTGCATGTTGTAGCATCTGACCTCTTTATTCTATAAACCTTTCTAAACGAGCATTCAATCTATTTGTTCACATGCTTTTTCTCTGTAAAGGGTTTGTGATATGTTAAATCTGGCAATGCATCTGGATTCATATGCAGTCATAGTTCATTATATAGTCGAAGTACAAGATATATGTTATGTCAATTTCAAAGTTGCTTAGCAAAGGATATTCAATTATTCAAACTATGAATACAAATAAATTCATATTTTCAATTGTCTATGTTTGTAGACATGTTTCAGTCACCTGTTTGCTACTGTTTATTAGAAGAGTGAACTTTTTGTTCTTTATTCTTTTTTTTTTTTTGAGTTTGATTTGGTTCATCCTCAGTGATATTTTTACTTTCAAAGTATTCAGTGCTTTTGAATTGGAGTTCCTCAGTAAATAAGTTTTCTTGATGTATTTCATTTTAAACTAATTTAAAATTGACTTGAGTTACATGAGATTTTGATAGGAACAAACCAGATGGTGATCAAATTTTGGACGTGTTGTTGTTGATAATTCCTCTTCATCCAAATAAACATTATTTTTAATTACAGGATGTTGCTGTGAAAATCCTCATGGAACAAGACTTGCATGCTGAACGCATCAAAGAATTTTTGAGGGAGGTATGAGTGGGCTGACATTTTGAGCGGACTTTGTTCCTGAGCTTAAGGAAACATTAATTTTACATTCATGTTCTTTGTATGATGTGTAGTTTCACCTCAATTTTTTGTTAGGTTGCAATAATGAAACGTCTACGGCATCCAAACATTGTTCTTTTTATGGGAGCGGTTACTCAGCCCCCAAATTTGTCAATAGTGACAGAGTACTTATCAAGGTTTATTACTGTTTTTATCTTTTTCTATTTTTGGAAATACCCCTTTGTTTGCACTCCTCCATTCGAAAAATGCAAAAAAGGGAATAGTTCTTGTCTACTCATTTTAGAGTTTTGAATTGTTAAGTGGACTAAAACCTTGACTCTTGCAGAGGTAGCTTGTATGGGCTTTTGCATAAGCCTGGTGTGAAAGAGATGTTGGATGAGAGGCGTCGATTGAGTATGGCCTACGATGTGGTGGGTATTCAAGGGGTTTACTTTCTTTTTGCTTTTATTTGACAACTTCTTATGGTATCATCTTTATATTTTGTACATTGTTTTGGTCTAAATTACCATCTCTTTTTATGTACAGGCAAAGGGAATGAATTATCTTCATAGACGCAATCCTCCTATTGTTCATAGAGATTTAAAATCTCCAAATCTTTTAGTTGATAGAAAGTATACTGTGAAGGTGAGACCCTGAATGTCTCTGCTGTGCCTCAAAGAGTATAATGTTTTCACCTAATGATCCTGTGATAGTAAGGACTAATATTTGCCATTTCCATTTACTTATTTTTGTGATGGAGCAAATGCTAAGTGATTGACTTCTTAATTTTAAATTGATAATGGAATCTTGATAGTTCTCAAACCTTATTATGTTGTTACATATGTTAAACGTAGCCATGGGTTTACAGTTGGTAATAGTTCTTAACTAGTTTTTTGTGATCATAGCTGGCATTGTCTATAGTTGGAGCCAGCCTCATTTATCATAATTTGCGGCTCTGTTTGTAATTTTTATCCAATGTCTTCTTAATTTTCTAAAAAGTTTTGTAAATTTTGAGCCTCTGTGAGTTGATATTTGCATGCTTCAGAAATTTGTTGAGTTAAAAAGAGGGAACTGCTATCTTACTATCTCTTGAACTCTGACGAAGGAAAAGTAATTGTGTTATACCATTTCATGGACTCCTGTTTGGTGTTACATTCTTTATGGTGATTTTAACAAAGCTATGATGTTGTGGTTTTACTATGTGCCATGCAGACACAGTTTCTGTTTTATGGCTTGCAAGTTTATTTGCTCTGTTGTTACTTATAGAGAATAGTGAAGTAGTTTCAAAGTCCTTTGTACTTTTGTTTAACTACTTCATATAAATCTTCCTCACATTGCCTGTTCTGTACGTTCAGGTTTGTGATTTTGGGCTTTCTCGTTTGAAGGCAAACACATTTCTTTCATCCAAGTCAGCAGCTGGAACTGTAAGTTACACTAATTCTTAACAATTTCCTTGGTACTTTTATTTGAGTTACCATATGTCACTGTTTATGCTGCACAATACTAATAAACATATATTTTTATATTAGCCTGAGTGGATGGCTCCAGAAGTCCTTCGTGATGAGCCATCAAATGAGAAGTCTGACGTATACAGTTTTGGTGTAATTTTGTGGGAGCTTGCAACGTTGCAACAACCATGGGGCAACTTAAATCCAGCACAGGTTTGTTAAGATATTATAGATCTTGGCCCCACAAATATATCATTTTGCTGATAGTTTAGCTTTTATGATTTTAAAAAGTAGCATCTTGAAATCATTGTTAAAAAGAAATTTTCGATTTTCATTATAGACAATACTCTGTTGGTTCCAAGTTGGTTGGAATAATAATAAGATGGCAAGTGAAATTTTTTAGAGAAGAACAAACCAATTTTATAAGCATCTCAAATAGTGGTGTACAACCTTAGCTATAGATCACATGCTTGAATGTCATTTGAAGGATGAACTCTCTGGATATCTTTGTACTGAATGCAGACATCCAATATTGAGATAAAGCTCAAAATGGTCCATATAACATAATGTTTGTAAATGAGGACCTCAAGCTTTGTGTTTTTGAAAACGTTGTGAAGCTCATTGCAAATAGGCACATGCTCTTTAAAATTTTAGCAGCTTGCAATTAAATAGCAATATATTGCACCTTATGGACTAACATACCTCTCAACATTAGCTATTGATATATCAGTACTTTTTGTACATTTAATAATTAATACCTTTGAAACTGAAGTTTTTCGTGTTGGCCCGTTAAGAAACATCATGAGAAGAAAATGAGCGTAGCTGAGATGAGGATTTTTGGATGTGTGATAAGACTAGAAGAGACAAAATCTGAAATGAAAAGATTCAAAGAAAATTACGGGTAGTCCAAATTGAGGAAAAATAGGAGAGAGGGCTGTTTGAGATGGTTTGAGATGATTCAAAGAAAATTCTAGAGGTAGACCATGAAATACATGGATGCCTTGTATGGGATATAAGGATTAGTTTGTTGTTGTTGTTCCTAATGTAAAACTGAGGTTTTTCACTACTCAAAACTATTTTGTAGATTTGAATAATTTTCCTGCAAGGATATGTTCTGCAGCTAAATTTCTGACAAGCATGCCCCATGTAAACTGCCTTGTAGGTTGTAGCAGCTGTTGGCTTCAAGGGCAAAAGGCTTGATATTCCACATGATCTGAATCCTCAAGTGGCTGCCATAATTGAGGAGTGCTGGGCCAAGTAAGTCTAAAATTCTTTTCTGATATGGATCTTATTAAGCAAACTTTCCTGTTTAAGCTGTACATGTTTCTTCATTGTCATTGTTGACTATAATGCAGTGAGCCTTGGAAGCGTCCTTCATTTTCCAATATCATGGAACGGTTAAAACCATTGAGTCAACTTTCCATCCCTCAACCGGGGCGTCCTGATCTGCCATTAGTCACCTGAATGGTTTGAACTCCTGCAAAGTCTTCATGCACATAATACAGCATTCTTTTTGACATTATATGCCTGGCAAGATGCATGCTGTTAAATAATCCAAGGTACACACCCTTTTGAACGCTTCAGCTTCAAATTACCAACATGGTATACTGTCCGCTTTGGGATTCCTTTTGATAGTGTGATCCTTGTGGAACCTTTGAGATTTTTTTTTTTTGTCTCTTTGAAGATTTGTGCAATCAGTGAAGCATGAGGCTTGAGGGTGTATGATGTTTTGACTGAATGAAACTTTCATGTCTCTCCTTGTCATGTTTATGGTGCTCATCAGTCTGAGCCTAGATGCATCCACACACACACGGTTCTGCTGTTGCATATGAATTTTCTCTTTCATTGTTTATGAGAATTATCATTTTACGGTTCTGTTGTTGCATATGAATTTTCTCTTTCATTATTTTTGAGAATCATCATTTTAACTGCATTGTTTGGTATACTGATAATTGTATTCATTTGATTCTTTGCAGAATTAGTGTTGTACATGTCTGTTCTTATAGCCAATTGGGACTTCTGAAATTTAACATGGACTTAAGGGTGTGGAAAAGAAAAAAAGGATTGCCAAATATCATTGTTTCCATAAGTAAATTTTCACATGCAATTACGGGAAAAGTTGTATCATATTGTCTCTCATCGTTTTATATGTAAAGATTGTAACCGAAATTAGTTGAATGAGAAGCAGCTCATCGGCATTCTAACAAAGAGATAAGCCTTACAACGGGGTTAATGGTGCCCCCCATTGAAATCCTAAAACTTTTTGAGAGAATTATGAAACTACCAAAAGTTTTTATGCTTTTTTAGTTTTGTCCTCCATTGGAATTTGATGTTGTTAATTATATAATTAGTATTGAATTTTTAATTTTAATTAGACATTTCATTTGTGATAATTTAAATATATAAAATTTCATGTAACTTTTCAAGAATAATTTACCTCTCCTCCATAAGGGACTAGCAACTGTTTTTGGTGCTTTTCATTTGATTTTGTTTCGAACGTGACAAGCGAACTTTTGCCAGTCCTTTCCCTTATTCAAAGCTGCAATTGTAGTAATCGAGTGCTCTCGTGAATGGATGTTTAACTCCCTTCAAACAAACTGATAGAATATTGATCGGGCGTAGAATTTTAGATTTTGAGAAAAAAAAAAAGATTTTTGAAAAAGTGGGATATACGATTTATTTTATTTTATTTTTAAGACATGTTGCGTTTAAATTTACTTATTTGATTTAGAAAATTTTATTACTTATTTGATTTAGAAAATTTTATGTATATTAATTATTGAATAATTATTATAATTTTTTTGATATAAGTGATGGTAATTTTTCATTAGCTTTTATTAATAATAAATATCCAAATGATAAATGATGTCTTTAGCATATAAGAAGATAAATTTTTTATTTGAATATTATTTTTATTTATAAAATATCATAAAATGAGGCATTTGACATTTTTTTTTAAGTAACAGAAATTGATAGAGAAAATTGCTATAGAAAAAAATCAATTAATGTATTGGTCACCTTTTTTATATCATGAAAAAATAATAAATGTTCATTTCATTTATTTATAAAATAATCATTAAAAGCGTTTTTATATAGAAAATGCTTTATATAATTTTTTTATAAATGAATTAAAAGAATATTTAAAGTTTTTTTGATTAGAAAATGATTAAATAATCATTTTTATGTGATTATTTAAGGTGTTTTTCAACCTGAAACATCTTAAATAATCTCTTTAAAAAAATAAAATATGATTATTTAAAGTATTTTTTATTGAAAAATATCTTAAATAATTTTGGATTATTTTTTATATGAGAATTATTTAAAGCATTTTTTTACCAAAAGCGTCTTAAATAATCATTTCTAAACGTCTTAAATAATCATGAGCTATTTTTTATATGGAGATTATTTAAGCCGTTTTTCAACCAAAAATATTTTAAATAATCTTATTCTAATTTTTTTATTGAAGATTATTTAAGGTGTTTTTCGTTAAAAAATGCTTTAAAAAATCTTGTTATATTGAAAATTATTTAAGGTGTTTTCTAACTAACAACTCTTTAAATAATCTTATGATATTTTTGAAAGGAGATTATTTATGGCATTTTTGTTGGAAAAATGCCTTAAATAATCTTGTTATATATTTTTTTAAATGAAATTATTTAAGACGTTTTTCATTGAGAAGCGTCTTAAATAATCCATTTATAAAAATATAAAAAAATTATTTAAGGTGTTTTCATATACAAACATCTTAAATAATCCTTTTACTAAAATATAAATTGATCATTTAAGGCGTTTCTATAAGCAAACCCCTTAAATGATCATTTTTAAAGGTATATTCCCCATTCTTGAATCTTGAAAAATCAAATGGCTAATACAGTGAATGATAAAAAGCTACATTGCGTGAAAACCTTTAAACCATCAATCCATTTAGTTTAACTTTTGGTTTTTCATCTCTTTCGTCGTCTTTGACCGTCAACCACTCAATGTGATCACACCTCTTTTTTACTAGTGTGTGCATATTTTATTCTTTTTTGTAGTATTTATATTCGATATAAGTATTTTTTTCTTTCCTTACTATATATATATATATATATTTGTGTGTTTATGCATATTCCACCTCTTTTTCATTTTATGTATTTTTTGCATTTACTGTATATAGTAACTATAGTGAATATTGGTTGTTTTTACTATATGATATTTAAAGAGATAGTTTGATGTATTTAGTATAATTATGATCAAAATCACAAGTATTATGGAATCCGAAAAATATGTCTTCTGCTACTGAACATGAAGAAAACACCTGTAGTGAAAAAAGAAAAGCAAGGAGATGTGGTAAACAAATTAAAGCGAGTGACACGAAAATTTATGTCGACTTTAATCAAAGTCAGGAACTTGTGTCGGATAGAGCTACCAAGTTGGCTAGTCACATTGAAGCGAATGTCTATACTAATATTTTTATTACGTATCATAATTGGCGACGAGTTTTTGATGATTAAAAAGATTGTATATAGGAATTGGTTGTGGTATGTTTATTAAGCAATATCTAAAAATTTGTTTTTAGTTGGAAATTTAATTAAAATAATATGTTCATACTAATTGTTTTAAATTTATTAAAAACGGTTTGATGTCCCAACTGAGTATAAAAAATTTATGTTGCAATCGACTGAGAGCATTCAAAGATTTTAACAGCAAATTGATAATCCAATATATTTTATCGTTCGTTAATAATAGTGATTTTTTGGCTGATTCTCCATCGTCATATGCAAATATAATAAGTTATTAAGAGTAGAGTATTTTGTTCGAGATCATCTATCAGAATAATTCTTGATATGCATACCCGTTATGTTCATTATTTATAATATTTTGTGTAATATATTCGATATCTTAATATGTAATTTACCTTTTTTTTCCAAAAATTAAAAAATAATAAAAGAACATTTAAGCCAAACAAGTATATCACCATTGGACATCAAGAAAGGGTACAAATGTCAAGCATGATCTTATAAGTATTTACACGTTTGTTTTGTACTCATATATGAATATTTATGAACATTCGGTTAATAGATTTTGATTTTTATATCGCTTTAATTTATCATGAATCATCTAGCTCTGGAATTGAACTTCTTAGATGAGATGTGTAAAAAAATGACATATGTAGAATGATGGATCATTTTACAGATGAAGCAATTAAGGACATGGTTAAAAAGATTGTATCTATAACCGATCAATTTATCATGTATGATTCACTTTGTGCTTGTATAGATGACTATTTATTGTATAATTTTGTTATTACGTGCCATCTTATTATGTTTTAGGATGAATTTGCTATTAAATTTAAATCCGATGAACTGTTAATCGATTATGGTAAAGATCATTTGTTTTTGGCATTATGATCAAAACAAAGACATGGTTGAGTTTGTAGAGTTGGTAGATCTGTGTTGCTATCAAAGTTCTTCAATAATCAACCCAAACTCCTATAATGAAAAATGCAAATAATGAAGCAATCATTCAGCAACAACAACAAATACTTGATGAACAAGAGCAATGCCTTGAATGATCAACAACAACGGCTCGTAGCTTTAAGAGGCAATGTTGACAATAATGCAGCCTAATATACCTAGAGGGTAGTCTGTTACCAACATTCAACAAGGATAAGCTTTCACGAATCAAGTCTGGCAGTAAACCCAAACTCTGGTAGTAATCATTATTTTTCATTTTGTTTATTCACTTAATATTTATTTGTATTTGTTATTTATATTGACTTGGTTTTATTGTTTATATTTCATTATATATTGTAGTAGGATATTAAGACTTAGAGGATGACCCCTACTGAGGTTGTCATTTATGCGTTATTTAATTATGCACTCGATCATTTATCCAAAAGAAACATCATTACCATTGGGTCTGGGGATAGGTTATTTGATCATCCATCTATTTCTTACATGGGGGGCTTGAGATTAAGGCATTTTGTTCCCTAGATGAAATATCAGCTTTTGATATTATTGTCATATGAGGTTAGCTTGTCAATTAATTTGAATATTCAAAGTCAATATCTATTATTCTATATTATGATGTATTATTAACTGGTATTGTTGATTATTATCGTGCAACTTCTTAAATAGAGAGATTAAGACGAGACAAATGACCCATATATTCAAATTCGATGACTCAAATATGATTAGTCAAGAGAGTGACACTATCGTTATTCATGGTTGTTATTTTGTAAAGGCACCAAAATGTGATTAGCATTATAAGGTCAAAATTTTTTGGTGCCTTTTATTGTTACGTAAGTTTTACTCGTACAACTAAAATTCCAACCTTTATGGCATCTAAGATGATGCCTAATATTTGTATATTATGTCTATTATTTTGTAAGCATCATTGGTAGCATATTGTGTAATTGATACCAATTTCTGGATGCCATACTTATTTAATTTCGCTCAACCAATGGTGATGTTTAACCCCGATATTAATAATTTAATAAAAAGATATTACATGTTATTAATCAGAGATAATTAGATTATATTGTGTTTCTTCATAATTACTTGTATTTTTGCATTTATTATTATTTTTTTGGTACAATTTAGGGGAATGGTTGCAGTTGATAAGAAAACAAAGATAAATTAGGTATCATTATCGACAAGTATGAAATATATTCTTTTATGCTGAGTTTGTTTAGATAAATAAACCCATTAAAATTTATTTTTCAGGTACCTCGTCAACCAGAAATTATTGAATGTGGATATTATGTCATTCATTTTATGAGGAAGATAGTTCTATAGGATTTTATGAGGACACCATTCAAAATTAATATTGATTCCATACAATAGTAATATCTTTCAATAAAAAGAGCTAAACTTTGTGTTTGTTTAATAACATTGACTTTTGATTTTTTGTTTACAGTGGGAGAATAAAGAAAGCTTTACAAAAGATGAACTTGATGTAGTCTACAAAGAGTGGTCTGATTATGTATTATTATTCGCTACACTTTGAGGTTGGAGAAAGTTGATTGGCTATAAATATATGCATTATATCGGTTCGGGTTTTTTTGTAAAGGCATGTTGGTTGGATTTTTTTAATTTTTGATTGGGGTATCATTATTTCATTATAGGTATGTATTTATTTTATATCAATCGCATTATATGAAAACACATACAACGATAAGCACCAATTTGTAAAAAGTATTTTTAAACGCTAACTTTATCAGTTATAAATCCAAATTGTGGTGTAATATCAAAGTATTATGATGTTTTTAATTTACATACAATAATGAAATTCATAATATCAAAAATTTGTATTTGATTCACACAAGTATGATATCCATTATAAATAAACTCATGTTTAACATGCGACATAATTTGCATATTTACAACATTCCCCTTATTGCTTTAATTAAATAAATAGGTTTACAAAATTATACAATGAATTTGTATATAAAATGTAGTGCGATCGACATGTGTCTAGGAAGAGGAAAGTCAAACGATGGTTGATATGCGTTACATTCATTTAACTATTTTTTAATGTAATTACTTTTAAATACAGTTGGCATCATAAAGAAAAACTCAACTTTGTGATTTTCTTTCAACATATACTCACCAGTAGCGAGTGTATCATCAGGTGTAAATTTGTCAAGTTGCATTATTTCATTGAAAAGTAATTTTTTTCTATCTGTATTTTACTTCTGTCTACAAGCAAGTTGAAATGCCATCCATCACATTCACAACCCTATCATACGAAGCACTAATATTACCAATCTGATGCACCAAATCAATGATTGATCCATCCTTGCTCCTAGAACGCTTTTTGCCTAACAACATTGTCCTAGTGTTACTCGAAGAAGCATAACCAATTTCTTCATCATCGTCTCATCTTTTTGTATTTCTTTTAGCACTAATATTAAACTCAAGAGAGAAGTAAGCATCGTTATTAGCATTCAATGATTTAACTACTCGACTGCTGTTTCGGTTCATTGATTGGTTACTCTATTAGATTTAATATCTCTTTAAAATTATCAAAAAATAAAAAATATTTTTCCTTAACCATTTAGTAAATGAATGTGACTTGTATAAGTTAAAGCAAATATGAATTAAATAAAACTCATAGAAAAATATGTAAAAAAGATAGATAAACCATAATATTATCTTTAAAAACTTATCCAAACCCACTCATCAAATATTTATTTCTTAGCTGTGATACATTTTTTTTTATCATTCTACTTAAATCCATTAAAATTTTTCATATCATAAATTACGTGATATTGTACCTTAAGTAACTTAACCTTGGATTCGATGTAGAAGGTTGCTTTAAGTTGTGAAGTAGGAATGAGTTGCTCTAGCATTCGTTCAATATAACTTAGATATCCGACGTGAAATGTCTCATTATTCGCTCTTCATCTATGATCTTCAGCTAAAGAATGTAGGTATTGAACCATATGAAAATCTTTTTTTCGAGTCTATGAATGGTTACCAATGCCTGAATTGTCTTATCTTATTCTGGATACGCCTCGAATGGATTATGATAGATTGGCACGTGAGGAAAACATGTTCAATTCTTAATCACATGGTACTCCATAATGAAGCAATATCAATATAGTAAATAAAAAACAATCAAGGGAATAAAATAAACAAATATACATGGAAATAAAGCAAATAATTGTGTACTCCAAATTATAATATTCATTGGATACTCAAAAACCATTGTAAATATATTGTAAACATATATTCAACATTGATATAAAGCAAATTTTACACTTAACCATATGGTACATACAATAAAAATCATTGGATAAATAAATAATAAAATATAAAATATATCTATAATGTTATTATCCCCATGATTGCAATCAATGGGTGAACATCTCATTAGCCAGATTATTTTTAAACTGAATCTAAGAATCAGATAGCTCAACATGCATAATCAAATCTTAATGTTCAAATTCATTTGGTTGAGAAATACTTCCTTTAGCAATATCCCCTTCAATAGGGTAAAAAACCATCTCAGACTTAATAAAATTATAAAAAAGGCAACAAGCAGAAATGATTCTACACTATGTCTTAATTGAATAAAATGACTTCTCCATTAAAATTGCCCATCTAGCTTTCAATATGCCAAAACATCTCTTGATACAATTTCTTACTTAAGAGTATTTCATATTGAAATATTCCTGTAAGGTCATCAGTTGGAGTCCTGCCCTCCAATCACTAAGATGGTATCGTTAACCTTTATAAAGTGTCAAGAATCCTTTCCCATTTGTGTATCTGGCATTAAACAAATAGTAATTATCTATTACAACGTTTAACAACATTAATAAAATGAAAATAAGGTGTTTTGTTATTAACATTATATGAACATAATAAAAATAATATATTGTGGGATCCTCAACCTATTCCTGCATGTTATAGCATCCTTTAACATTCTGTCATCTGCTGTAAAACTTTTTTATCCTGATAGAACATATGAATTGCATATCTGGGGTGCAAACATTGAGAGCATTGGTAACAATTTCATTTTTTCTAGTCCTGTATCTAGGCCTGTCAACTGTATCTACGCTGACTTTAATATATGTTTCATCTAAGGCACCCAAATCACCCACGAACCATTTTCGTCTATTATTTGTTGAATTTTTTGATATGAGTTTGGGTTTTTTAAACAACACATATGTAATCTTAAAACAAAATTTAACACATAATGAAATTGTCTATTAATCATCTTTCCAGATCTGGCTAATTAATGCTTTATAACTTTATTTTTTGTATGATGGGTAATGATGTGGATGAAGTTAATTACTAGTTCTTCTATTGACATATGTTTAGATGACTGTAAACCCCCATTTGTTTTAAGCAAATAATATAATTTTGTAAAAGCTCTCTTGTCCATTCTAGTATTATCTATTTACTATATATCGTTATCAAAGACTATTACGTTTAAGTTTAACTCTCTAATACGTAGCATATCATAAGATATTTCACCATAAGATAGTTTACGTCATTTTCTTACATTAATATTTAATAAAGTTATAGCAACAAAATATAATACATACAATAAAGTCTCAATTCGGTTCGAATGCATCATAAGCAATGTAACCAATTGCATCTTCCTTCTTAGTGATAAGTTAGCCATAACTATTTAGAAGACAGAATATCATTAAAGTTGAAAACATAATGAAAAGCAAATATTGGCATATGGTAGATGAAATCTATCAAATATCATCAAATAAAATATAAATCACAAACAAAACATTGAAAGATTGGAAAAAGCTAAAACAAATTAACCACAAAACAAGGCATTTATATCATAAACATATATTCAGATCTAAACAACATCTAAAAAAATAAAAAATAAGTTCATTGGAAGGCAACATCAATTATACACTATCAATCAAAAAGTATACACACCATTTCAGGTAAAAAACAAATATAAACTTAATAAGATGAAGATGAAATGACGGATGAGGAAGCTAAAACTTTTTCAAAGATAAAAGTAAATGCTATGAGCTGAAATCTGTTGAAATATAAATCAGAAACGTATTTGTTATTAAAACATGATGAAGATATCAAATAAGACGTTTCATATATGCAAATGACATATTTGATATATAAATTATAGGCTCTTCAGCTTCATGATTAGATACTAGAATATGTATATTGTCAAAACATGGTCATCGAGAGGAAAAAAAATTTTAATATGAGTTAAGGAGGTTGTAGGAAGAAATGCCTCAATTGACCCTAATCATTTATTTATAGGTGTATCTAAAAAAGATCAGGTTATAATACTTTGATCTATGAAAATAAAAAGATTTATTTTAAATTATCAATTAAGGCGTTTCAATTAAAAAAATGCTTTAAATAATTGAGGCAAGGATTATTTGAGGTATTTAAAGAAGAAAATGTCATATTTGATGATCATTGAAGGCGTTTCTAAGGAGAAAATGCTTTAAATGATCATCATTTATGACATTTCTTCAACCCAAACGCATTAAATGATAGGTTATTTAAGGTATTTTTTCATGTCAAATGCCATTAATTATAATAAAAAATTTTTTTTAGTAACAAAAATATACAACTAAGTTACAGTGACTTTTAGATATATTTTTCAAAAAGATAACAATTATTTTATAATTTTTTATTCATGTTAAATTTAAAAATAATATAATTTTCTCTTATAAAATTCTAAAATATAATATGAATTTTTAATTTTAAGACTTTGAGTATCATTAAAAATTTATTATTTTTCTTATAATCGAATTATTCTAAATCAAATATTAAAATTAAATACCCACCATTAGAATATAAAAAAAAATTTATGAATTTTTTTAAACCAAACATCTCCAAAACTTTATTTCTCCCCTGTAAACAAATGCCGACACTTCGTTTCAAATAGAACGTACGTCGGGAGGAAAAATTGACATCACGTGGGTTGTTCTTCAATTGATTTTCAATTATTTTGGATCTTTCTTTCAAAAAATATATATCTTTTTGCCAGTTTCAAAGCTATGGTTAGGAAAATAAATTTTCTAGAATGGTGATTTGCCCCATTGCTCTGAAAGGCTTAAAACGAGGGGAAAAGAAAAAAATGGTGAAGAAAGAAAAAAAAGAGGCTGGACCTTTATTTAATACCCGAAAATAAAAACTACCTTTCTTTCAAATTTTTGCTGCCAGGACTGTGACATTTCTATGAACAAAAAAATGAAACAAAACAGGACGTCTCGACCTTTTCATGTCATTTGGAAAAAAAAATTAAAAACAAGTGATTTTCATTTTTCAACGTAACAAAAAAAGAGGAAAATAATTAGTTATTCACAAGCGAAACATCACATGCACAATAAATGAATTTTAAAAGAAACGATTAGTCCAAAATCTCTCTGACAAGACTTCCCCAGCTGTCCCCAAACGAAAAATCCACTTATTTTCATTGGCCCGTTGGACTTAGCTTGGTCACCAAGTATTTTGACCATCCAATATGCCGCCTTCAAATCCTCGCACATTACAGTTTTACCCAAAAGAACGTCTTGAAACCGTTCCAGAGACAGAAAATATCTTGCGCAACAGTGGACCCCAACTACTTCCTTCCGACCAGTTGACCACATAATCGTTTGATCTTTCAAAAATCCAGATGAAGTAACTGCCAGGAAACAACCCCAAACTTAGGTCGGCGCTTCTTCTTTCTCAAATTCTCAATTTTTTTTGCGGTGATTCAATATCATATGGCTTATAGATATTCCACGTATAAATCATCAACGGTTAACTTTACCGTGGCCGTTGAAGAGAAAGGCGAACCTACCCCAGTCACACCGCCTCTAAAGATTTTTCTTATCGTAACAGTTTGTCGGCTTAAACCCTTCAAAACCCCCACCCCCTTCCACCAATTTTTTTTTCACTTCAATTTCTCCTTAAACTGAAACCCAGAACTGATTTTAAAGCCTTTTTTTGACACCTTCAAAAATCAAATGAACCCTGAGGACAAAAAACAGTCTCCGAATTCCCGTTTAAGCCTACCCCAAACGTCGCCTTTCACTTCTCCTTTAATGGAACTAGAAACATTTTCATCAGCACCAGCTGGAACGGAGTTTACTGGAGTGCCTCAGCCTCTGGAAATTCTTCAGGGGAACCCAGTACCGCCTTTTTTGTCTAAAACGTTTGATTTGGTCGACGACACGGGTTTGGATCCGATCATCTCTTGGGGTCCGACGGGAGAGAGCTTCGTGGTTTGGGACCCGGTCGAGTTTTCCAGGCTGATACTTCCCCGGAATTTCAAGCACAATAATTTCTCCAGCTTTGTTCGTCAGCTTAATACTTATGTGGGTATTATTGCAATAACACAGCCTACATAAAACAAAAAAACCGCTAATGTCATTTGATTTTGTAAATATTTCTTTCTCTTTATTTGCTTATTTGTTCGTTTTTATTGTCTGTATTATTGTTTTAAATATTTCTGTTGTTTTTTTTTGTTTTAAGGCATAATCTGTAAATTGAATCCTGTAATTACAGAAGCCAGATTTGTACACTTTATTTGTAACATTGTAAATTATCAAAATGTTCTACAGAATTTTTGTAATCGGAAAAAGGGTTAATTGAGTTCCTTATTTTGATTGTAAGTTCTTTTGAAAATTTTGTATATATAATGCGTATGGATTTGGTGTAAAGGTGAATCGTGGCATTGAGCTGTTCACGTGTTTATGTGTATTGAGATCATATGAAAAATTTATCTATTGACTTGGATGTATGTTAAATGTGTGAATTCTTGTGAGTGTAATTTATGTAGACATTTTTTAAAAGATTGGTAATTGGTTTAGCTTCTTTGAGGTCAGCTTACTTCATTTTGCTGAATCTCTTCTGGATTTGGGAGTTCCATCTTAAGCAGGTAGAAATTTGGGTTCTGTTGCAATATTTGTTAGTTTGCTTATTTTATAAGTACTCACAGTATGTATTTTTCTAACAGTTCTTTTTTTTTTTTTTGAAGAAAGCTGATGTTATGACCAATGATAAACAGATCATCTATATAATGCTATCTGGCACCTTCCATATCTGAAAATTGGCGGCTTCAAATTGACTTGTGTGAAATGTAATGATATTTTGGTTTTCCGAACAATCCTGTTTCCCCTATTCATTTTTGAATCATCTTGTGTATTATTTCAGGGGTTTCGGAAAATTGATACTGATAAGTGGGAATTTGCTAATGAAGCTTTTCAGCGAGGGAAGAGGCATCTTTTGAAGAACATTCAGAGGCGTAAGTCACCTCAATCACAAGAGGTTGGTAACTATTTTGGACCTGAAGCAGGGAGGTCTGGATTGGAAGGTGAAATAGAAAGGTTGAGAAAGGAGAAGAGCATGTTGATGCAGGAAGTAGTGGAACTGCAGCAGCAGCACTGTGGTACTGCTCACCATATGGAAGCAGTTAATCAGAGGCTTCAATCAGCAGAACAAAGGCAGAAGCAAATGGTTTCATTCTTGGCGAAGTTATTTCAGAATCCTGCTTTCTTAGCCCGCCTTAGACAAAAGAAGGAACAGGGAGAAATTGATTCTCCAAGAATGAGGAGGAAGTTTGTCAGGCATCGGCAGCTTGAACTGGTCAATTCAGAAGCACCTGTTGAAGGGCAGATTGTGAAGTACACACCTGATTGGAGAAACATTTCTATATCCTCATCATTCCCAGATTTAAATCCAATTTCTGTTGAACAATCTGCAGATTATCTACCCGAGGGTGTAGCCGGAATTGATTTAGGTGCAGAAGGCTTTCCATTTCAAGTTGGTAATGAAGTAGTTGTATGTGATAAGTCGGCAGCTGCACATGGATTTCTCAGAACCCCAGAGCTGGTGGGAGAAGGTACATCTTGGTTGGGAAGCAAAGATCCCCATTTCAAAGAGAAGAATGTAATGGGCTCAGAACAAGTGGATAATCCAGAGTATTTTGTCCCTTTTCCAGAGGATTTGGTGAAGCAGAAAAGCACCCCAGAGTTCTTATCTCCTATTGGTGAAAGTGTTTCTAAACAAGAGGATATATGGAGCATGGGTTTTGATGGTACTGCTGGTATGTCTAGTTCTAGCAATGAGTTTTGGGGTAATCTTGAAAGCTATGACCTTCCAGAGTTGGGAGTGACTAGTGGGTTATCTGATGTCTGGGATCTTGGTTTCTTGCAAGCAGCAGAAGATTCAGGCACTGATAAATGGCCAGCTGAGGAATCTCCTTTTGATAATCCTAATCCTGAGACTCAAGCTGGACAGCCAGAAGATATTAGGTCTAAGAAGACAGATCCATGAGGGTTCATTTGCTTTGGCAGATGATGCCTTTGAGGATCATAGTTATCTTCAGTTACTAGGATGAAGGGTCTATTGGACAATTGATTTATAAACATATTAATTGAATGCCGGATTTTTTTCTGATATTATTATCAGTACAGGTTTCTTTTTTATATTTGAATTTTGATTGGAAAGCTTGGTAATTTCAATTTTTATATTTGAATTTTGATTGCAAAGCTTGGTAATTTCAATCATAAGTTAACTCTTGTGAATCAATTTTTTTTTCCTGTTGCTGTGCTATATGATGGGTTGCACTTGAAATTGCAGGTTTTCCACTTACTCTACGTTTGAGTTATGAAAATGCAGGTTTCATACATACATTTGGCTTGGTGGCTTATTCTTGATCCTCTATCTGCCAGGATTGGCATTTAATATCCGGTAAGAAATGACATCCTAATTTTTATTTTCCTATTGTTGCATTCTTGTCATTCACTGCATGACTTCAGAACTTGATTGACAATTTCATCATGGGTGCAGGGTTTGCCTCATTTGTTGGCATATCTTCTCTTTTAAACTGATTGTATACGACTGTTAGATAGTATCCTCAATAACATTGTTCGTATGCTACGCATATAATCTAAATATACTTGAACAATTAGGTAAAGAACTCAGCAACCAGAGGAACTAGTGTAATTCTCAAGGAAATTAGATGGATGGCTTATCCTGTATGCTGCTGTGACATTGTGAGTTGTCTGGTATTGGCAGATTGTAAATGTTAGAAAGAATTTAATGTTTTATTACTTTGCTTTGGGCTAATCTATAAGTTGAATCGAGTGCTTCCATTGATGCTTTATCTTGGTATTTGTTTTACGAGTTCACTTCTGTTTAAATCCTCATAGCATATCCCTATAGATGTAGGTTGCTGAGCTTCGTTGAACAGGGTCAGAAGGGTCAAACCGTTGACAGGGGATCTCCAGCAACATTGGCAATTACTACAATTTTCTATATGCTTTTGGTAAATACTACAATATAGAAGGCTATAACCATGGCTCTTCCTCTCCTCTGTACCATGAATTTTCATTTCCTAGTAAATTTTTTTGCCAAATATTTCATTCGCACTTGAAGAATGTTATGCACAATAACAAATACTTGAAATTTAATTGGCTTTGGCAGCTGCAATATTGTTGATATGCAACAGGATTTGAACATTAGGGCTTTTACATGCTTTTTCTCTATTTAAAAATTGGATGGCACATGAGGAAAATATTAAACAGTTTGTTACAGCTTTCTTTTTTTCTTTTCTGTTAAAGAAAATTTAAGGTTGAAATAAATGTAACAATCCAACATTAACACCTAAACAAATTTAATAGGTTATATTGTTGGAACAGAAAAGGGTGAAAATATCAGCTTCTAGCATCTGCTTCATCTGCTCCATTCAATTTCCCTTCGGAAAACTGATAGTCCCAGCGCAAAAATATGGTAGGGAATTACTATAGGATAGGAGAGTTAGCGCAATAGCACGCAAGCAATGGGCTACTCACTCTTTTTCCTTCTGCCTTTTTGAGGCACGCTCATTAGCCTCTTTCTTCCTAGCTTCACGACGCTCTCGTTTCACATATTTGGCTTTGTTAGGTAGAGCCATATCTCCAATCTATAAGCAACAAGTATCATTCAAATGAAAGATAGTTAAAAACTCGGGTAAAAACAAGTGAGATTGACATTTATAATCATAAAAAATGTGTTCTCTTACCTTCTGATCAGGAATGTAGATCTTCCCAATTGTCCCTTGTACTGCATCTGAGCTAACATTTTTGACCTGTGAAGCAACAAAAAAGGTTAATTAACTGAAACACAAACTCATTACAAAGCAGGGTAGAGTTGTTTGGCATATTCACCGTACCTTCTTCTTAGGTTGATCTTTAGCTGTTTTCATAACTTCTTTCCTCAAGCCCTCATTTGGAGGATGATGACGCCGAACCACTAAATCCATGGAAGGGCCTGCTTCTACCAGTTCCATCCTTGGAACTACAGTGCCAGACTTTTTCAACCGCAGGGCACAATGTGTGAGGAATACCCTATTTGAAGATATTGCTGTACATACATAATAAGCATGGTCCAAGTCCAAACCAGCAAGATTTATATTCTCCACAACCTTCATTGATTTCAGATGTCTGTATAAAAATTTCTTTTGAAAAAGAAAAGAAGGAAAATTCTAAAAGCTGCATACAAACCTCTCCTCTCAAAAGATCAAGCAAAACTTCCTTTAGATGTTTCAGCTCATCTACATTTCAAACCCTTTTCCAACAAAAGAAACGAAAGGCTTTGATCCCACCCGTGGAGCTAGCTTCTTGTCATAAGTGAATGATTCAATGGATTTAAAATTTTCGACCCCAACCTCTACAAGATCGTATATATGGTGATTGTACATCCTCCCTATAACAAGATTGTCGGGTCGCTTCTTTGAGTGTGAACCATACTGCAAACACAAGACACATAATAACAAAGATTATTGAGAAAACTGCTAGCATAGAATGCAAGCTAGAATCTAGAAAATTCGCTACAAAAAGCAGGTTTAAACCTAATTAAGCATTCAAGGGCTATCCTAAACAGTAAAATCAACATAAAACAAGGACGGACCTAAAATATATTCTCAAACCTGGCATGTGGTCTGGGTCTTCCAATTGAGAAATGAGAAGCATTGATCGATCAATAGATAAAATACAATGCAGAAACTAAAAAATACGTTCTTTGCTACAAGCCAAATTTATAATTTCACAAGTCAACGCAACATAATAAGTTTATAACAATGCCAACTCAAAAAGAGCAACAACAGTTGAAATCAACAGAAAAACAAAGGCAAAAAACGGAAGCTTCAGGGTTTATTACTCACAACAAAAATGCTGCAATCAGTTTTGAGAGAAAAGAACTCTAAAGAAGTTTCACCCCCACTTTCAAATGGCCTTATATTATCATTCTTCCTTGTAAACCTCACAGCTCCACCTCTCTTTAAATGGTAAATTTCACTCAATACACCATTCAACGTGCTGCTTGTTTTTGTACTTTGTAGTATCAGCGTTTTCTTCCCAGTTTCCACCTGCCAAACACAATTTCAATAAAAACCCATTTTTCTAATATAAATCTTCATTTACAATTTTGAAGAATTTCGTAAAATCTTACGAGCTTTGGAGCTCGTTTTTCTAGTCCCCTTTTAACTCTGCATTTCTTGGGGATCTTAATTTTCATCATGATTGCCTGAAACAACACAAGACACAAATAAAGATAAAAAATTTACTGGTAAATTTTCGTTTTGAAATAAAATTCAAAATAAATAAATAGAGTGAAAGAACTGGTAATTACGGGACAGCAAAGGCGGAAGCAAAGCGATGTGTTGCTGGATACCGAGATGCAATGGTTTTTCTTCCTTGAAGTCAGGGTTTTAGATTTCAGCTGGATGGATGATATGGGCTTAATTTAGGCTTTACTGTTGGATTTGAGCCCAACCTCTAAAATGGGTTTATGTTTTCCCTATTTGTTATTTACACGGGCTAAGCCCAGAATCCACCAGACATTTGTTAGGAGCCAACCAAACAGGGCCATAAAATCGTTGCCTTTTTCCGATCGTCCCCTCCATTACTTAAAGGCCAAAACTCACTAACCATTTTAACCTCCATACTCTCAAAATTTACAATTAACCCTTTACCTCCCTCCTTTCATTTTCTCCGTTGTCGCTCGCTCCCTCTCCCACTTCTTCACTCTCAGAAATCCCCCCATCCAAACAATCCCTAATTCCCTCTCTTTTATTTGCGTATTTCTATCGAAAATTCTTAACTCCTCCTTTATCTTAAGAAATTAGAATTTAAATTTTTTTGTTGTAGATAATTAGCCTTTTAGGGCTTTATATTTTTCCCTCGTTGTACTATAGGCTTTTGCATTTTTAAAAAAAATTTTCGATTTAGATTTCTTATTGTATTCTTTCAATTTTCCTTTTGGTGTTTTTTGATTTGCTAATTTCTTGTAAATGAAAAAAAGAATGGTTATCGATTTAGGGATTTAGGGTTTTCGAGTTGCTTATATGTTAATCAATATGGAGAATCCGCGTAGACCATTTGATAGATCAAGAGAGCCCGGTTTGAAAAAACCGCGTTTAACCGAAGAACTCGCTCCGAACCCTAACGGTCGACCTTTTCCTCAACGGACGAACCCAGTTGGTCCGGCCTCTGCTTTACGATTCCGGTCCAGTGATTTGGAGACCAATGACTTGAGCCGCGGAGGCGGTGGAGCTTACGAGCCACAACCAGTTTTACATCAGCGGCAGCAACAACAACAACAGCACCAAGAGTTAGTTAGCCAGTACAAGACGGCGTTAGCTGAGCTGACCTTTAACTCGAAGCCGATTATAACTAACTTGACAATAATCGCTGGCGAGAATCTTCACGCCGCCAAGGCGATTGCTGCTACTATCTGCGCCAACATTCTTGAGGTGAACTCAGTTTTAGCTGTGCCTTATGTGTTAAAGCTATTCCTTTATGTTTGAAATTGAATTGTACAGGGAAAAATTATAAGTGTGCTTCTATACTGTCGAAAGAAAGAAAATAGAAAAGAGGAAAAAATGAGTTGGATTGTAAGTGTAAATTGGGATTAATGGATTCCTTTTAGTTTCGATTTTATCCATGTGTGTCTCGATGTGGTTTTGTTAAAATGTTTGCACGGTACTTTTGAGTTCAAATATTATACTCTCGTAACAGGTGATGAGAGTACAATGATGTTGGTCAAGTGGGTGTTCTTTTTTAGCGACAAACGCAGCGTCAGAGATTGTAATGATGTGATGCGATTGCTAGTGCATGTAATTTTAACATAAGGCCATGTTGCCTATAATTTTTTTCGTTTCTTGGATGTCTGTGCTAATCTCTCATGGATCTAATATGGTTCTAGTGGCCCCACAATATGTAAACAGCCAGCTACTGGATTGTAGAGATGATAAACTTTACAGGCATGTCTTGAAATGGAATATAAGGAAAGCCAGTATCTTGTGACATTATCAATTTCATGGAAAATGAATTGTATTGGGTTTGGAATCTTATAAAGCTATTATACCCTTGCAGTTGGGTATTTTTGCTGCAATATGGTTATATGCTCTACTCTTTTCTTCATCTTGATTTCCTTTTTCCTTCTTAAGTGGGTATAGCACTTGTCAAATTACATGTATGATCTCTTGGTAGTAATTCTCTTGTTATATTACTCAAATCACATTTGGATGCTGATATGAGGAAATAGAACTAGAAATGCTAAGGCCTTGGTAAGTGCTTAAGTTGAATTCCCTGTGGCTTCCTGCCCTCTTGGGTTCCCCACTGGCAAATGGTAAAGATCAGCATTCCAAGTCTATTTAAAGTTTATAATGGTGCCTCAGATGTTAATTACATGGACTTCAAAGAACGCATTTTCTGTGATGGAGCTAATTTTCTAAGGGCTGCAACCAGATAGAAAGTCATGAAAAAGGGGAAAAAATGAAATCATAAACAGATATGGCAAAGTCAGATTTTAGTGAAATGGAATTAAAAACTTAAGCTGATGAAGTTAAAAGGCTGGCTATTTTGGGTAGCAGGGATGCATTCCAGAACTTTGTTTACTGTTGAAAATTCTTCATACTGAAACTTTTTATTTTTAATTTTTCTTCATTGTGAGGAAGGTGAAGCTTTGGTTCATTTTACTTTTTCTGTTTGTAATCCTTATTTGTCCCTCACCTTACTTTTTCATTACAGCATTGCTGATATTATGGATAAGGTTATTATTTTGAAGAAGAATTAGTCCAGTAAGTGTTTGCTTCTGTGGTTGAGAGCTGATTAAAAAAATGACTTTGCAGGTTCCCAGTGACCAAAAGCTGCCATCGCTCTATCTTTTAGACAGTATTGTAAAGAATATCGGGAGAGATTATATTAAATATTTTGCTTCCAGATTACCTGAGGTTAGGTTTCATTCTTTTTTGGCTCTGTGGATACTCAACGTGGCATCTGACAAATATCTTGTAATATGCTTATGTTTATTGTCTAAAAAACTGCAGAAGACTGTTATCAGTGAAAAAAATAATATCCTTTAAAAAAAAATACATCCTTGTCAGTTTCCACCTTTATGCGCTCAGGGTCTCAAACTCTTCCAAATGCTGAAAACTTTTCTGTACATTACTTCTGTGTTTTATCTAGATTGAGGTTGATACTCATGTTTCAAGTGTATAATCCTTAACATTTTTACTGCTGGTTTTAGGTGTTCTGCAAAGCATATAGACAAGTTGATCCTCCTGTACATCAGAGTATGCGGCATCTTTTTGGAACATGGAAAGGGGTATTCCCTCTTCAGCCTCTCCAGATGATTGAAAAGGAACTTGGCTTTACTCCTATGATAAATGGTTCATCTTCAGGAACCACAACATCTAGACCTGATCCAATTTCACAGCGTCCACCACATAGCATTCATGTAAATCCAAAGTATCTAGAAAAGCAGCGTCTTCAACAGTCAAGCAGGGTAAATTCTACAATCATCTTTTCCTTTTTTTGGCATGTTATCCATTGGATTTGATTCAGTATATTTCTGAAGCATTTATGGAGGCTGGAGGTTTGGTCATGTTTATAAAGTGAGCACTTTAAATGCTTTTACTCAACTATTTTATTTTTCTTCACCTTTGATGTTTAAGGTTCATATCCCTAATTTCTAGTATCATATCAATGCCACCATTGCCAAATTTTTTCTTCCTGATAATCAACTTCATTAATCTCTCTCTGTGCAAAGTGATAAATTCAGATTTTGCATTGTGTTGGGCTTTTCTATTGATTTGGTTTTAACGTGATGAAGGCAAAAGGTATGGTTAATGATATGACTGGGACTTTGGCCAACTCAAAGGAGGATTCAGAGAGTCCAGATAGAGCAGCCATTACAGCTGGACGGCCATATGGAGATCCTTCTGTTAAAATGAATGTATGTGAAGTGTTTTAAAGTTTGTTGTAATCCGTTTATTACCTTTTCACTTTCTGATTATATTTTAAAGTTATCAGAACATTCAGTGTTCTCATAGACACTTGTTTAACGATCCTGATCGTGAGAACATTGGTGCTACATTTGGTGATTATGACTATGGCTCTGATCTTTCACAGACTCCTGGCATTGGAGTTGGAAGAACTAGTGGGAAACTTACCGATCAAGGGCATGATAGGCCTTGGTATGGAGCTACAAGCAGTATTACTGAGACGACTTCCAGCCAGAGGAATGGTTTCAATATTAAACATGGATCTCAAAATTACTCAGCATCCAAATATGTGAATGCTGATCCTCGTTTACGGGCAACACAAAACATTGCTGGTAGAAGCAGTAGCGGGTTGTCTAGCAGCTGGAAAAACTCTGAGGAAGAAGAATTTATGTGGGAGATGCACTCTAGATTGTCTGAACATGATGCAGCCAACATCTCTAACAACTCTGGAAAAGATCATTGGATTCCTGATGTTTCCGAAAAATTGGTAAGCTTGCAAGAATGAGACTTTGAATTCAATTACAAAATTTTACTGAATATGTTTAGAGAAATCTATTTTCTCAACTTGAAAAAGATAAATTTTGTGAATTTATCTATAATTTAATTTGCTGGAAACATTTACAATATGTATGTTTATACTCTTTAGATTTTTGGTACCTTATATACTGTAGCTTGTGTAAGGTGTAAGACATTAAGATAACTGCAGTCATCAGTATGCTTATGAAAATGTAAATATAATGCATTATTCAAAAACTATTTTAATTGGTCGAGGAACAGTATGGTTGTTTGATTGTTTAAACCTTTTTTTCTAGTTTTCTTTCATTTATTCCTTCTAGGAATTTATTTTCTGGAGTATTTATAATTACCTGTGTTACATTTTCAATGGCAGGATTTTGAAAGTCAGCTCCGCAAAGCTCCAAGTATTCATGATGTGGGGTCAAGGTTTGATACAGAAACCTCTGCTGATTCATTATCCACTGAGCAGAAGGACAAACCTTCTTATGGGCGCCGGATTTCATCTGCATGGCCTTTGCAGGAGTCACATAAAACAGATGGATTGCCTGTTATTAGTTCGAGCCATTCTGAGAGCTATTCTGCCACTATTGGTGGGTTGCCTACTGGTGCAAGTTCTTCCCTGGCCAGGATGGGAATGCGATCACAAATGGGTTCATCCCATTTAGGAACCTCAGGCTTTGGGATTTTGAAAAATGTGGCATCAGGATCCATGAGTACTTTAGGACAGCAGCGAATTCAGTCCCTGGAAACTGCACCAGCACCTGAACAGTCTCCTATGCGCCTGCATTCATCTTCAACTTCATTTCCTGCACACCATCCCCATCAACAGTTACAGAAATTGGTTGAACAAGACTATCCACAAGCTCATTCCCCTCCTCGGACTGATCCAAAACCATCCCAGTTTTCAGGAAAGTTGAATGTTGGGTTTCATAAACACTCTCCTAAGGCTTCATCTGCTTTGATTTCTTCTTTTCAATCTAGCCGTCGGCATTCCCTTTCACAACCACCACAACCAGACTCCATGTTGGCTGAACCTTCTGGTCAGACTCAGAAGCCACTTCCGTCCCAGATCTCCAAAGTAGGAGCAGCCTCAACACCAGGAAATGCTGCAGAGCATACCAATCCGCTTGCTATTGAAACTTCAGAACCTTCAAGTACAAGTAGTCTATTGGCCGCTGTAATGAAGAGTGGAATCCTCTCCAACAATTCCTTTACTGGCAGCCTTCCAAATAAGATTTCTAAAGATTTGGGGCAAATGCCATCACAGCCTTCTCTTCCAAACGAGCCTCCACCTGCTGTTTTTACAACCTCAGGCATGAGGGTTGATACTGCAACTTCATCAGGTTCAGCATCCCACGATGCAATAGCAGCTACTACAAATAGTTATCGGGGAAAGGTAGAACAGCTACCACTGCCTCCTGTGCTACCATCTTCGACTCTTGTAAGTAATGCCCTATTGGAAGCTTCAGATGCAGAAAGCAAGGCTTCAATTCCAATATCCAACCTTTTGAGCTCATTAGTTGCAAAAGGTTTAATATCTGCATCAAAGAAGGATGCTCTATCTCTCCCATCTCTTCTGATTCCTACTCAAATGCAGACGAATAGCCCAGGAATGGAGAAGCCAACTGAATCACTGAACAAGAGCTTGGACATTTCTACCAGTAGTCCTTTGCCAGCTTCTTCCATTCCTAGTTCATCTGATGCTCCTCGTTCCTCCACCATGGATGAGGTTTCATTTTCCAAACCTGCTACAGAAAGTTCAGTTGCCTCACATCAGTCTGGCCCAATGGAAGTAGAAAACCTCATAGGATTAGAGTTCAGGCCAGATGTAATCAGAGAATTTCATTCATCTGTGATCAGTGGATTGTTGGATGACCTTCCACATTGTTGCAGCTTATGTGGTCTTCGACTTAAGCTTCAGGAACGGCTTGATAGACACTTAGAGTGGCATGCCATGAAAAAGACTGAAGCAGAAGGTTCTGATAGGGCATTGAGGGGATGGTATGCAAGGTCAGATGACTGGATTGCTGGAAAGCCAGGGCAATTGGTATTTGAATCTATTGGTTCTGTGAACCAGTTGGAAAAGACAACAGAAAAGACTGAGCTTATGGTTCCTGCCGATGAAAATCAATATGCATGCATGTTATGTGGTGAGCTATTTGAAGATTATTTTAGCCAGGACAGGGGCGAATGGATGTTTAAGGGAGCAGTGTGCTTGACTATACCACCAAAGGATGGTGAGGTAGAAAATACAGACAAGAGTGAAGCCACCGGTCCCATTGTGCATGCAAATTGTATGTCAGAAGGTTCAGTTCATGACTTGGGACTGGCTGGTGGTATTAAAATGGTAAGGTCCTTTGTCTTTGAATATGTTTACCATTCTTTTGAACTAGTTAACTTGTTTCTGCTCTATTTGCATTTATTCTCCCAATGTTTTGTTACCTGATCATCACTCTCACTTCTTGTTAGGAAAAGGAAGAATAATGCTTTAAGGTGAAAAATTGAGCCATCACTTGCTGTGCCATTAGTTGATCCTGATGAAAGAATCCAGGTTTACCTTTTCTATAGCTTAATGTCTAAAGGCCCTTGTATGCTAATTTTGTTGGCCCTTGGAAAGGTGCTGAGAGTGTCTACTAGTTGTCTTCCTGCTCTCATTTTTCCCTTTTGTTTTTTTTTTCTTCTTTTCAAAGGTCATGGCCTGATAGAAGTTCATATAAATACCAGATAGTTTTTGCCTTACTTTTCTTCACTAATGCCTTTAATATGCTGCGTTATATTCTGTTTTTTGACTTTGCTGGAGCTGATTTGAAATATTGGTAAAGGATAAGGCAGAGAAGGCCATGTCTATTCAGCTTCAAAATTGGCAATTGGAGAGAGCCTGTTTATCATTGAATGTAATGAAGTCTTAAAAAGAAAAATGCAAGAAGAAGAAGAAGGAACAGATTTTTTTTCTTGTTTATTATTCTTCCATCTTCTCCTCTGGTCTTTTCTTGCCTCCCTTTTTGGAGAGATGTGGTTTTTGACTTTGTTAGTTGTTCTCTAGTTGCAGTACTATAGAGAACATGGTTTTCTGTTCAGCGGACAAAATTTAGGAATCTGGTGGCTGCTTCTTATTAGGCTCCCCATCATCTTTCTTTTTTCTTTTTGTTTTTGCAAGCTTCCGCCTATGTATCCTGCTACTAAAAACACTTCAACTTTACAGTTTTCTTTGTTTATTATTGATGATTATATCCACCATGATTACATTTCGGTATGACTTTGCTTGCTGGTTACTTGGTGTAATAATAGAAGACCAGGATATTAGACTGTATTGTTGTTAGAGAAGCTCTTCAAGAAAACAAGAGCTTCACTAGTTAGGATTTTTGTTTTGTTTTTTTTTTTGGTGTTATCGTCATCAAAACAAAAGCATTGTCGACTATATTGCTAAATTTTGACAGACGTTCTTCCCATCACTCAACTGATGAGGTCATGAACCGCAACATCTCAATTATTATTGCAATTCGTTGATATGCATTTTGTGTTTGAGGATCACCATTATCATCTTCCTTGCTTTTACACCGTCAACTAATATCAAATTCCGTCACATAATAAAATTCTGTTGGCTTCGGTTAATAATCTAGGAAACTAATATCTGATTATACTTGCACGCTTGAAAGTTGAAAGTACAACAAAGAATCTGCCAGCCTTTCCTCCAACTTCCAACTAGGATCTGTTTTCAACGAATAATTATTATATACTTTCCTTTCGATTCATTTATTTTTATACCTATTCACTTAAATTCAACAAGCGTACTTGAAAGTGGAAACACGCGAAATATTAATCATGTGTAGTTAATAGTATGGTTTTTATCACACAATAGTAGTAGTTACATTCTTTTATGTGTTTTTGGCCTTTGGGTAATACTAGTTACATATAACTTCGTAAGTATAAATATTTTTTCGCTTGATTGAGCATAAAAAAAAAGGTACATACTGCATATACTATATTATTCCATTGTATGGATCATTATTCTAAGGCTTATGATGTTGAGTGTATATGTAATCCAGATGAGCATCTGCAATCATCCTTCTTTTCAGACATTCTTCATCTTTCTCATAGCACTCTTCTGATCCCATCAACTGCACCACAACAAAAACACACACACAAAATCAAGTTAGCCCATATGAATAAGAACTAAGAAAAACAACAGAGCTTAAACTTAAAAAAAAAAAGAAGATGAAATTCTTACATTTGAGAAATCTTCTGTTGCATCTGTCAACACACCAGCTTGAATCATCCCGTTTGCACCTGTTTACAATTTGACTCATCATTTAGACCAGACCATGAAGGAGAAAAGAGAAAACAAGTCTAAAAAAAGGTGCAAAAGGGCTTGGTCAATAACCTTGCTTCCGTGGCTGCAGACGTGCAGACGTAGAGAAGGTGCAAAGAAGAAAAGCTAAGAGCAGAAGAGTGATAAACCCAACAATCTTTTCCTTCATTGCTTTCAATTCTCCAATTCCTCTACTCCTATTTTTTTTTTCTTCTTTGTTTAAAGACAGAACTTGAGAGAGAGAGAGAGAGAGAGAGAGAGAGGGGGAAATAGTGTGAAGCAGAGTGGCGCAAGGCTAAGTGTGTATAAATAGCAGCAGATGCAGAGATACTTGAGTCACATGTAGATCCTTAACACGGCAGTTGCAACTCTCAACAGAGTTAGTGGACCCCTTCCTCTTTTTAATTTGCTTCTATGTTCTTTCTTATTCTCTCTTTAAACCCTATTTGTAAATGAATAAACACAACGTCTTTGTTTATATGCACACTAAAAAAAAAAATAAAAAACATATCAAAGTTATATCATTATCTTATGTATCAATATGGTAGTTTCATAGGGTATTTTTGTACATGACATTCATCTATTTAATCATAAATAAAAAAGTATTAAATTAATATAGTATTTAGTTTAATGGACATACATGACATGCATCTATAAATTCATTTTGTAAAGTTTTGAATTTCATCTACAATTAATATATAAGGTCTCATTGAGACACCTGTGTAGTTAGAATATTTGATAAAAAAATTATTAAAAATAAATAAAAAATTACAAGTGTTATGATTTGAAATTTAAATTTATTAAAAATATTTTTTAAAAGTGATCAAATTAATTAATTGAATTAAATTTTATATAATTAGAATTTAATATTATTTTGAAAATATCAAATCAATCTTAAAATGAATTAATATGATAAAATTTATGAAATAAAAAATTATTTCATAATCTAATATCACATTTTCTAAAAAATAATTAATATATAGGATAAATGAGTTTAAAGGTATGAAAATTTTGGAACGTCAGCTTAAAAATTAGCCTAAAAATGCTCTCTCAACAAAGTAGGGGCATAGCTAGGGACAAGAATGGCTAGTGGTCCCCTCCAAAAAATTTTAACACCCTTAAATGTATAATACTTTTTTTTCGTAAAATTTATTATTTGACCCTTTTCTTATTATCTGACCTTCCTTCTCTGACAATGCATCATCATGTGAAAATACCCTAAAAAAAGTGTTTATCATGCGGGAATGAGTTGAGGACTAGAGGAAGAGCACCAAAGGTCACGGAACTGTAAGTGGTGGGGAATGGGGACCCAATTGTCCAAAAATCAAAGTTGTGAACAAACTCAACAAGAAGACCAAGAAGAAATTATAAAAGGACATTGGAAACCCCGATGCACCACTCCACCTCCATGCACGTTATTTTCTAGAGCATGAAGAAATTTTTGGGGCTCAATTGTTTTAAAACACGTAGTCAATTACAGTGCCATTTTTTGTGTGGAAAATTAAAAAGGGTGTAAAAAAAAAAAAAATCTTAGCAGAGAGTCAACAAGTCCATCTGTGTACTACGATTCTACCCCATTATTTGGCCGACAGCTATTTCCCATTTGTACTATGTTTTCACACTTTCCTTGAGTTACACGCACGTGATAACGTTTTACTGCTACTTTTTCAGGCTTAATCTTTTAGATTAAATTAATAATTTAGTTCTTCCTCAGAATACAACAATTTCATTTTTCGTTTAACATTGTATCCATTACCATAACCATAACTATATTACTGCTTGTTCAATCCTCTTTGCTTTGACGTCGAGCAGGGCTATTTCTGGTAAAATAGATACTGAATTTGAAAAGATCATTGGGGTAAAAGTTTGAGAGTTTTTTGTGTTTTTTGACCACTAGTGACTACCGACAACGATTACCGACGGTGATTCAAACAGTAGTCGGCACGACGACATGGATGCTGATGATCGAACACCGACAGAACCCCTGAAGCTTTCTCTGGAGCTCTGAAATTTTTTTTTTGGGCAGAAAGATTAAAATGAGCTTAAAAAAAAAGTGAGTTTTATATAGAAAGCTAAAGCCTCAAAATGACATCATTTTAGGTCAAGGAAGATCCGTGTGTGGACTTGAATTCGACCAAAAATCTATGCAAATCGACCTAATGAACCACTTCAGCTAACCTTCAACTGGTCCAGACAAACCACCAGTGAATCGGTTTGAGCCCGTTTGAATCGCTGAACTACTGAACCAATCGTCGATTGAACCAACGTTGATCAGACCGTTAATTGATCCGGTTCAAGTTTTTTTTTTATTATTTTATTATTTTTAATTTTTTTATCTGTTATTATTTTTGTTATTTTGAGTTTTATTTTTAATATTCATGCCTGATAATTTTTTTAAATTTGTTAAAATAAATATTTGATTGTTTTTAATAATGATTAAATGAAAACAACTAGGATAATAACTAAAAAAATATATTAAAAATGCTTTAAAAAATAATAATAAATAATAATAATAATAATAGAATAACAAATTTTTTTATTTTTTTTACCTAGATGTTGGAGGGAATAAAAAAAAAATAATTTCGCCTAGATGTTGGAAAATTATATAAAAAATTTTGAAAAGTAATAATAATAATAATAATTGATAATAATAACAATAAATTTTCATAAAAAAATATATGAAAAATTTTAATTAATTTTTGAAAAATCATAAAAAATCAAACTTACTCTGAAAGTCGACCTAAATGTTGGAGATTTTTAAAGATGTTCACGTTTTGAAATTTAAAAAATTAAAACCAAAACGTAAAATTTTAAGACCCTAAAAATTTAAAACCCTAAAATCCAAACCCCAAAACCTTTGAAACCTAAACCTAAAATTTTAAAACTCTAAGAGCAAAAGCTTAAACCTAAAAACTCGAAACCTTAACCTTAAAATCCAAAATCCTAAACCATAAAATCCAAAACTTTAAAACCCAAAATTCTAAGAACCCCAATTTGGTACAAAATCCCGAATCATTGCCCGAAAGTCACCAAGTCTTAAAACTTTAACCTAAACCTATACTCAAAACCATTTCAAAACTTTAAGGATATGTGCAAAAGTCTCAAGTGAAGTAATTTATTCTCGAATGCCGCATAGATGATGAGGTATTTAAAGAAATCTTATTCAATTAAGTTTTTCTCATGAGCTCTTAATTCACTTTAACAATGGGGTCAATAATTAATAATAAAAGTATACTAATAAAATGAGATCTTAAATATAAATAGTTGAACCTAAGCTCGACCTAGATGTTGGAGAGTCAAAGTGGTCTTATTATATTTAAGAATCTATTTTTTAAATTTCATTTCACCATCATATATAACATTCGTTGGCATGCACATATCTATTTACTATTGTTTGCATTTGCTTTTGCGTATTTATGCCTTTAATTTTTATTCATTATCTAATAGTTTCATCATTTATTTTTTCACGTAAATTTTTTACTTTAAAAACATGAATTTATGAAAAAAAATAAAAATAACATTTCGAAAAAAATAATTCTTAGTACTCTACCTATATATTGGAGAGTCATCAACAATTATCTTCTACAAAGAACATTATTTTCATTTTAATAAATATTGTATTAAATCTCAAGCGAAAAGAGTTACTTTGAATTCTGTCTAGATGTTGGATAATTTTAAGATAATTCTATAACTTAGAAATTTTCTCGAAACTTCTAAATAAGGAATTTTGATAAAATTAATTTAAAAAAAATAAAAAGGAATTTATAGTATTAAATTTCAAACCGAAACTATTTCATCCAATATCGAAAATAGTCTATGATTAAATGGTACCAATTTATGGGCATTGTGGGGGTGCTAACTTCTCTACAAGTAACCGACTCCCAGACCTAACGTGATTTTTGTAGACCAAAATTTATCTTTTTGATAAACTTTAAATTTGTTTTTATACTTTTATTAAAAAGATAAACTTTTAAGTGGCCAATTACACCTTAAAAAAGATTGGTGGTGACTCATCTTATTTTTTATCGATTTTAAAATTCTTTACGTTTGACGGTCTCAAAACCGTTATGACAGCTTGACGACTCCACTAGGGGTTATTTTAAAGTTAGGCCAAAATTTTAATTATGCGCTATTGACAATGGTTGGATTTAATTGATTTTCTTTGATATTTAATTTAATTCTTTTATTTTATTTTTTAAAAATATAAAAGTTAATAAATAAAATAAATTACATGTTAGTTACTATTTTATTTTGATTCTGTGTTTATGATTTATTTATGTTATTTTGATTAATACAGTACTTTGCACACACTTTGCATATTCACTCACATGCTTAAGCTCTAGACCCAAGCTTTATTCCTTTTAGGAGGAAGTGAAATAGCTATGTTCTCGTGAGGTGATAATCTCATCATTTGCTAGCGAAATACTTTCACTTAGATTGAACAATTCCATTAGTAGCCCATAATGAGTGAGGAACGGGGAACCTTACTAGTCTATAATAAACGATGATGTGAGAAATAGTTTGAGAACCTTTAGAAGTATAAATCCTAACCCAGCACATTGTGAGCCATAGAAAGCTTGCCTAGGGTAGAGCATTGCTGACCTTTTTATAGAAATCACCTAAAAATATATTAAAATTTGAAAAATGAATAATAAAAGAAAAGCATTTTCTTTTAAAAAATAAATTTTCTCTTAACATGTAGTTCATTCATTTGGTAATTGTCCAAATTTTACATTTTCATAAAATATTTTAGAATAAAATAATTTTTTTTAGCATTATCCAGCAAGCAAAAAAAAAAAAACAAAAAAAAAGATTTTTTAAAAAAATAAAGATTTTCTTAAATTCTTTGTTTATTGGCCAAATAAAAATTAATTTTCAAGTCCTAGTTATTTTATTTTTCCTTCTCAAAAAATTTTTTTTTTTTCATATTTTGTTTCATCTTTCACATTCTATACATCATAATAAATAATACATGCATCTCATCCCATGTGCATCATAATAAGATAATATGAGCATTTCATCCCATTCGTATTAATAGATAGTCTGTGCATCCCATCTTATGTAGGTAATGCGCACATTCTATTTCATTACCTATTTAAAGGTAGTGTCAGTTTTACTAGGTTGGTATAACACAAGCATTACATTCCTTGTAAAAATATAACGTGCCTTTGATATGTTCATGCATTCTATAAAAATATGTTGCATTAGTCATAGGTATACATTTTATCATTCATGTATGTCATTGTATTTTATGCATATGGATTCATGAAAACTAGGGTCTTATAGAACATATATTGCATTTCATATCCCACCATCCCTGCAACATAACATAATATTACATTTCTTGCACACACATTCATGGTTGACGAAAAGTTTTATTCAATGTCTTGTACATATAAAAATTCATTGTTTTAGGCATATATACATTTCAT